GGGAAGAAGCCAGAGTCGCGGCGTAGCGAAGCGCTGTTGGAGCATTTTCGCTGATGCAGGTGCAGCTCATGGGCCAAGAAGAGGCAGCGAGCCGAGCGAGCCGAGAGACGATTTCCCAGGGCAGATATCTTCTTCTCAGTCTTCGGCGTGAGACTGTCTTCTTTCGTCGTCTTACTGTCTCTTCTTAGGCTCCAGCGAGTCCTGGAGTCTTTCTTCTAGTCTTGTTCTTCGTCTTTTCTCTGTTGCCTTGCGGTGACTGTCCTGTCCTGTCCGGTCTCGGTGACCAGGGAAAGATGCCAACAGAACGCTGAAAAGATGGGATAAAATAGTATTAAAAGAAAGCGAAAAAGAAGAAGAAGAAGAAGAAGAACTCCTGGTCTATCCTGTCCGTCTGTGTCTGTCTGTCTGTCTGTCTGTGACTCCTTTTGGTCGAGTGTCTGGTGTCTCTCGTTGGGAAGAAGACGAAGTTTTTTCTCTTGTTTCTTCCTTGATTTTTTCCCTTTTTGTGCGAAAAATGAAGAGTTTTCTTTGGTGGTAATTTATGGTAAGTTACAGACGAAAGTGGCGCAAGGCTGGGCGTGGCTGGGCGGGCCAGGGGTGTAAGTTACGGTAAGGGAGGATACGGCGGAAGAAAAAGGAGAAGGAGAAGGACGAGATGAAGAGTCAGAGAGTCAGAGAGTCAGAGAAGAGTCATAGACATTCACTTATACGAGCATCTATCTATCTATCTTATATATATATATCCATATACAGACAGTCAAAGGGCGTCTAAGTAAGAGATTTCAGTAACCTAAGGTGCGAGGTGTAAGAGCGAGACAAGGTTAGGTTACAGCAAGGCAGCAGTTGGGCATGAAGTTAAGTAAGAGGAAGAATAAGTACGAGGAAGTAGAAGAAGTAGAAGATGACGGTGAGGGAGGAGAGCATTAATAAGGAGGCAGCCTCGTCTCTTCCTTGTCTGGCATCTTCTGCTCTTCTCTCGCATCTACCACCACCATCTACTACCATCTATCACTGTCTACCATCATCTATCATCATCTACTACTGTCTATCTTCTACTTCTACTTCTTCTTTGACTTCCGCTTACTAAGTTAAGGTGCTTACTAACACACTTCCACGTGAGAGCTTACGTCATGGTGCATGTCTTTTACCTTTTGCCTTTTTGCTGCGGCCCGAGGCTCGCCTTTACTTGCTTTGAAGGATGAAGAAGGATAGAAGGACAGCCTTGTAGATGGAGTAGATGAAGATGAAGATGAAGATGAATAGATAGTAGATAGATAATAACTACACGACAATGTACTCATCTGTAAGACGCTGGGAGTCGATGATGCGCCGCCACCGGAAGGCCGCTCCCCCCAGCAGCTCCCCCCCTGACGCTGTCGAAGCAGTGCTTCCACTTCCACTCTCGTTGGGGTCTTCCTCCTGCCAGATGCGCTCCAGCAGCTGCAGGCAGGACAGGTTGTTCACGAAGCCCGAGTCGCGCTGGATGTCGCAGCAGCGCTCGCGGATGACCGCCCTCTCTGCCTCGCCCATGCACTCGCTGCCCACCACGAACAGCGGCCACAGCAGGAAGACGTCCGACTGCACCGCCCGGATGTAGTGCAGGGCCGCGCTGACCAGCGTCTGGAAGCGAGGGTGGCGCGAGGGCGTGGTGGGATGGGCCAGCCGCTCGAGGTACAGCAGCGCAGAGTACCGGAAGGACTCGGAGATGTTGGAGATCTCGGGCAGGTTGGCTGGGTTGACGTGCGACAGGGGGGAGGCCGGCAGGGCTGCCCCAAAGAGAGATGCTGATGATGCTGCTGCTGCTGATGCTGATGTAGGAGTAGATGTAGGAGTAGATGTTGATGTACATGTAGATGTGGTGGATGCAAGGGACGGGACGGGGCTGTGGGTGCCGGGCAGGTCGGGGAGACGCCAGCTCTCGAGTTTCTGGCGGACGACATGCCATTCTCGCCAGAACTCGGTCCGTGGGTCCAGGCTGTTCATCGGGACGGCAGATATGTCCACTATAGGGGAAGAAGAAGAAGAAGTAGCGGATGTAGTATCAGTGTCAGATAGATAGTGGGTGAGGGACTGGGGGATGGCGGCCGTCGGGACTGGTCGCTCCATCCGCGCAGTCGAGTTGTCCACCGGTTTGGCCTGGCTGAGCTGGTTGAGCCGGCCCAGCTGCGCGACGGCCCGGAACAGGCGCGGGTCGCAGCCGGCCAGGTTCTCCAGCGCCCACTCGTCCTGGCCCGACGTCGTCACCTCCAGCAGGCAGCCGTTCATCTGGCTGTCCCGGTCGTTGATGGTCGCCGTCATCGTGTCGAACCAGGTAAACATCCGCATAAACCACTTCATCACCTCCGAGTCCTGGCTGCCCCGGTCCCGGCCGGCGCCCCGGATCATAAACAGCTTCTTCACGCCCGCGAACTGGCTGCGGAACGAGGCCAGTCCAGTATCGCACATGTGGAAGAGACACAGCATCAGCAGCGTGGCAAACACAGAGTCGGTTCGTCGCTGCACCGGGTCCGCCAGCTGTGCGTTGATCGACCGTATCGCCATCCCCTTGTGGTAGGTCTCTTCGCGAAGCTGCTCCTCCGGCGTGGTCACCCCGAACGCCTCCTCAAAGGCCCCGGTCCGTCATCCGGGCAGTGTGCCTGCAGCGACCCGCCGCGACGGTTCCGTCTTTGCCCGTCGACAGCAGGCCCCAGTTGCGCCGCCGTTGACGCAGGTTGCTCAGCGACAGCGCTGCGATGGCATGCTGCAGGGCCTCGCTGTCCTTCGCCAGCTCGAGCAGGTACAGCCTGAACGGGTTCGTAGGGCTGTCAAACGTCACTATCACTGGCGCTATCACCTCGGTATAGTACCCGATCAGGTACCGCATGCGAGGGTTGCGGCCTATCCAAGTCGTCGAGAAGGGCTGGTTCAGCGAAAAGGACGCTGTTGGGTATGGGTGGTAGTGGTAAGGGTAGGTGTTATTAGTATTATTAGCATTATATATCGACACATCAGTCGACACCACCGTCTCTGATTCGTCGAGTTCGTCGTCGAATACCGGCTTCTGTGTCACCGGCGTCGAATACACTTCCAGCGGGCTGAAGTGCGTGGTCGTGGCACTGTACGGCGAGCCATAGGGAGACCCTAGCTCGACGTACATGCTGGTGCTGCTGGCGTTGACGGTGCTGGCCGTGCTGGCCGTGCTCGCTGAGCTGGTGCCAGCGCTGGTGCCGATGTTGAGTGGCCCAGGCACATCCCGGTAGAGCGGTAGGCCGCATGCATCGACGGGGCTGTATGACGACGTGTATGCAGGTAAGGGATGACGATATGTGGGCTCGCTCGCAGTGGCGCCGCTGCTGGTTATGCTGCTGCTGCTGCCATCGTTGCTGCTGCGGCTGCAGCTGCTGCGTGGAGGGGTCGTGTTTATCGCCGACCAGGGCGATGTCGGCGCCGGCGTCTGCACCGACTCTTCCTCTTGGACTGGCTGTTGCTGTTGTTGCTGTTGTTGCTGCTGCTGCTGCTGCTGCAGGCTCTTTTCTGCCTTTGCCTCTGCCGGCTGTGATGGCACGCTCCTGGGCTCGGTCGACTGGGCGACCTTCTTTGCGCCTGATATGGGCAGAGACAGACCCCGTAGCTTCCCTCTGCTGGCCACTCCGATGCCCCAGGTCAACGTCGTCTTGTACCCTGAACACTGCCGTCCCATATCAAGACATGGCGTGCAGTACGGCCGCCGCCTGTCGCATCGTACCTGTCTGCTCGCGCAGGTGAAGCAGTCGTCCGCCGCACCGCTGCCCACCGCCCGCCGGCGGCGTTTCCGAGGCACGACAGACGGCCCTTCGCCCTTTGCGCTTGGTTTGCGTGCCTTTGTTGCTGTCGGTGTCGCCGTCATGGCGTTGCGTATAGCTTATATGGTAGCCCGATATATATAATATTCTTGCGTGGTCGTGTGGTGGTCTCGTATGGTTCCTCTTATATGCTCTCCGGGCTCTCAGACATGGTCATCGTCGACCGTCCTATCCGGCCGACTGCAATCCTGTCTCTCTCTCTCTGTGCTTGTCTGCCTGCCTGCCTGCCTATCTGTCGATATCGAGTGTCAAGTGTCGATGTGATGCGCTTTTAGAGCTGACAAATGCGACGCGGTGAGATGGGATGCAATACGATACGACACAAGCCTTGCGTCGAAGAAATCAGAGGCTGCCCTTGAACGCGAGATCGAAATCTGTCTCCACCCGGATAAATATCTATCTGTGTCAGAATGATTAACGTCTGTAGCCGGTATCAGGATGCTCCAACGGCCGCCTGAAACACCCGTATCGTCCTGAGATGCTCCCTGGTGGATAACATGTATGTATCAGCCCGCGGTGTTGTGTTGCTGATGCCAGAGCGTTGGGATATCGGAAGCTGGTGACGATAGCGAGCAGGTAGACCCTTGCGAGGTTGCGAGGGTCGAAAAACAGGACGACGAGGAAAGACGAAAGAAGAATAAGACGAAGACGACGAGAGACGCAGAGAGCGAGAAGGAGGACCCGCTTTTTGTTGCCCTTTGGCCTGGGTCGCTTTTGGGGGAGATGGGCGGCCTGTGATTGGCCAGTACCCCAGACCGGCTTTAACCGAATAGGAAAAGTGGATGGGGCGAGGTGGATGAGTAAGCGGGACGGAAGGGGTAGCTGAGCTCCTATTGGGTGGAAGGGCGGGAACTGGAGCAGTTATGATTGGCTGGGCGTTTTGGCACTTTCATGCACGTGGTTGCACGTGATGCTTCTAGAAAGCGGAAGGAAGACTAGAAAAGTTTAATTTACGAGTTTACGAGGAAGCTAAAAGTTAAAAGAAAGCGAGAAGTTGGTGGGAGAAGAGAAGACGAGAAGAAGAGAAGGCGAAGACGAGGACGGGAAGTTGTCGATTTAATAGAGTAAGAAGTTAGGTAGGGAATTATACGCCAATTTATTAGACAATAAACAGAATTGTCTCTGTACTCTGTAGAGAGAAGGTAGATAGCTAGATGGACATCGAAGGAAGGAATTAAGTAAGAAAAACATGATAGCCAGCCAACCAATGACACCCTCCAAACGCCAGGTCAAACAGACGCAGAAAGAAAAATATGTAAAATGCTGACAAGCAGTATGGAGAAGCTCCTTGCTACTTAGATCAGGGCCATGGCGATCTATGTATGTATATACCCAAGGAAGATGTTTTAAAGAAATGAAGGCCAAAACAAAAGTGGTATAAAAGAAGAAGAGGGAAAGAGAAAAAAAAAGAAGAGGGAAGAGGGAGAAAGAGGGAGGGCGATTACGTGCTGTTGCGTCCAGGAGTGCTGTTGCGTCCTGTCGCTGGCGTGCTGATCATTTCGTCCGAGACGCTGATGACCTCGACATCCTCGGGCGTCTCGGCCATGGTGCTGGCATACAGACGGCTGAATGAAGAGTCGGTAGACAGCAGGGTATACGGGTCGTCATATTCGAGCAGCTCGCCGTGGTCTAGCAGAGCAACTCGGTCAAAGTCGAGGATGGTATCGAGCTTGTGGGCGACTGCGATGATGGTGCGAGATGAGAGCTTCTCGCGAATCACTCGCTGCATGATCTCGTCGGTTTTGTTGTCGACACTATCAGGGACAGTTTGTTAGCCAGAAGTTCAGATAGCGATCATATGCAAACAAAAAAGGAGAATACCCCGGGGCCGAGGTGAAGGTTGAGCCGTGCGGGTTGGTCCCGCTTGACGATCTTCTTTATGTTTATGTACTTAAATGAAGGGATGGGGAAATGATATGGGAAAAGGATTGTTACTTACTTGCTGGTGGCTTCGTCGAGGATGAGGATAGTGCTGGGTCGGAGGATTGCTCGGGCGAGACAGAGAAGTTGCTTCTGGCCGTGCGAAAGATGGAACTCATCAATGTCAACGTCAAGGCCGCCCTTCTCGTTGACAATGTTCCATAGCTGGACGCTCTTGAGGGCAGAGATCATTGCGTCGTCACCGAGAACGCCGGTTGGGTCGACGTTGAGGCGCAGTGAGCCCTTTAGTATGAGGGCGTCCTGCGAGACACCGGTGATACGGGACCGGATCTCGGAGCGAGGCAGAGTGCTGAGATCGATGCCGTCGATCGAGATGCTGCCTCCACTCAGCTCGAGCATGCGGAAGATCGTTAGGATAAGAGAACTCTTTCCACTGTTTGTTTAATAGGCCAGTTTGTTAGTCTCCGCTACGGGACGGGCAAATGGAATGATACCTTTGAGTACCACATGCAGATATAAGGGAAATTAAACTAACCTTCCTGTTCGTCCACAGATGCCCAACTTCTCTCCTGGAGCAACGGTAAGGGTGACGTCCTTAAGGATGGGCTCGCCTGGTCGGTACTCCGCTGAGACGGATTTAAACTCGATGCCTCCCTGGGCAGGCCAGTTGTCTGGTGGCTGTGTGTTTTCGCCCTCCTTATCTTCAGGTTGGGCAGTCTCGTTGAACACCTTGATACGGGCAATGGCTCCAATGTGCGTCTCGAGGGTGGTCCAGAAGGTGATGAGCAGTTTGATAGACTGACTGAACTGGATAACGTTAAGAAGGGCAACACCGGCATACCCACCACTGATGGTGCCTCGGAGTTTGATGACCAGGACAATCAACAGCACAGCAATACCAGCAACCACCATGTCAAGGACCAAAGTAAGCCATCGCTGCACAGAGAAGAGGAGGTAGAATGGCTTCTGGGAACGGTCAAGCAGCTTTCGGTTTTTCTTCTCAAGGGCTTCCTGCCATCCAAAGGCACGGATGGTGGCTAGGCCGTTGAGACACTCGGTGAACTGAGAGTACAGAGGTGCCTTGGCCTCAAGGTCCATGAATCGGAGCTGGCGAGAGGTGCGGAGGTAGTACTTCTGGATCATGTACAGTGTACCGAGGATGAGTGGGAAAGCGATGGCAGCGTACACTGAAGCAACACCGATGATCACCATCTGAGCGAAGCAGAGGACAAAAGTTGCAAAGGTATTGAGTGCGGCAACGGGAAGTTCCATGTCGATGAGCTGAAGATCCTGGGAGAAACGGTTCATAGTCACACCCTGGTCAGTGGTCGAGAAGAAGGACAGGGGGGCGGACAGGACTGTCTTAAGCAAAGTGAAATGGAAGGCCTCTCCAGACTTAGGCACCATGTTGATGATCATCTGCCATGATCCGAGGATGAGAGAGATGATGGCAAGGACACCAAGCATGACATAGATACCCAGATAATAGCCGAGCTTCTCGTACGGAGCCTCGACGTTGGCCGCAGCCCACCATTTCAACCAGATAGCTATGCCTGTTAGTGTTTATCACAAATTCAACACGGGAAGAAAACACTTACTAGGGAAGGAAATGCAGAAGACGAAGGCACTGATGAAGAACATGAAGAGGATAGTGGTTGGCCAGCCAATCGATCGCGCATAGTACAGGTAGATGGCCATGTCGCCCATTCGTCGGTTAGCCGCAGCCTCAAGTTCGTCAGACGTCTGGGGGGTTTCATCGATGACGGCTGGAGCAGGGAGAGGTCGCTCAGGTTCAGGCTTGAACAGCCAATCGGGCGAAGGAAGGTTGAAGCTCGAGACGTATCCGCCGGATACGTTAAGCTCCTCGAATTTACCTTGCTCGTCAATGCGACCGTCAGAGCTGAGGGCAACGATATAGTCGGCATATGGAATACGTTTGGCTGCAAGTTTGGTTGGTGTTAGCTGGAATGACTCGCTTCTTGTAACGATGTCAGGAGGTTTCAACTTACGCGAGGACGAAGTGATGATGACCGTGGTGCCGAGTCGGCGGAGAAGTCCCTCTTCACCAAGCAGGCTGTGGAAGATGTGGTTTTCAGTTGCGGCATCGATTCCACTGAGAACATCGTCGAGAATGAGAACATCCTTTTGGGCATAGATAGCTCGGGCGAGGGCCTATATGGCGGTTAACTACAGTACTTTGGGTGAAGTCAAGGAGGGCGAAGAGAAGGACTTACGATACGCTGGCTCTGACCACCACTGAGAGCAATACCCTTGCTGCCAACAATGGTCTGGTCACCACGAGGGAGCTGGCGAAGATCCTGAGCAAGACCACAGGCGCGGACTACAGTGGCATACCATTTTTCATCAAAGTCAAGCACGGAGACAATGCTGTCCTTGATAGACTCATTCATGTGCCAGGCAGTCTGGTCGCAGAAGGCCATGTTCATGGAGGCAATCTCGACAACTCCGCCGAGACAGACAACTTCACCGAGGATGGCCTTGAGCAAAGTCGACTTACCACAGCCAACGGGACCGACAATGACGGTAGTCTTGGAGCGAGGGATGTTGATATTGATGGACTTGAGGACGGCGCCCTTCTCGTTCTCCCATGCAAAGCAGCCATCGCGGATAGTAACAGCGTCAACTGCTTGGTTGGAATTGGCCATTCCCTTGAGTGGGAATGAACCACCAGACTTAGTCGACGTGATGGTTGGACTGGCAGAGCTTCGATTGACCTTCTCGCCGTTCTTGACAGCGTCCTTATCAGAGAGAGCAAGGGTCTGCTGGCTTAGACTGAACAAATTGGTAATTCTTTCCTCTGGCTGGCGTCTAGAATCGACTCGGGATGGCTTGTCGAGGAACTCCTGAATACGGGTGAAGCATCCGACTGAGCCAAGGAATGTCACCAGGGACATAATCAGGGACTGCAGCGGCTCCGCAAGCAAGGCAAAGAGAGAGAGCGAAGTGAACACGCGACTGATATCCAAAACGGCATTACCGCCGCCATTCTTGTTGATGGCAGCGAACACAGCGAAGGTGATGATCGGGCCAAAGATTTGGGAGATAAAGGCTATGTTTATTGGTCGTCAGCAAGTAAGTCACATAACTTGCAGAAATCACCCGAATCGAACGACTTACCAAAGCCCATATTCCAGATCAGAAGCTTACGGAACTTCTTGGAGATGTTCAGTTCTTCCAATCTCAAATTGTGGAGATTCGTTAGGAGAACTTCCTTCAATCCACACATCTTCACACCTTTCATGGAACTCAACATCACGCTGGTGGCGGAAATACGCCTTTCAATGGCCTCTAGCCATGCAGCCTGGTGAGCCATGACAAAGTTCATTGCAATGACGGAGCCGAAGAGTGAAACTGTTGTCAACAGGTTAGCATGATGGAACGGCACTCCACTCCGCTCAGGGGCTCCGGACGAGGGGAAGGGGGTTGACGGGGGAAGGATATCAAGGTGGTGAATACGTACGAATCGACACAGCGATTGGAACAACACAAGCGACTCCGAGCTGCTTCTGAAGCAAGAAAATGGCGATACCCACTTCCGCGGCAGCTGCCCACAGTTCATGCATAGTTTGCCATCCTTGGACAATACGTTCAATATCGGCGCTCATAAGGGTCATGGAAGAGGCCGGGTCTACATCCTGGATGTTGATGTCGGTTGCCTTTCGGTAGAGCATGGAGATCAACCCTCCACGAACCATGGTAATGGCTCGGTAAGTCAAATGCTGGTATTGACCCATGGTAACCTGGAGCTACATTTTAGCAGGTACTCAAGAGGCAAAAGGCACATGTCAAACTGTGTGTGACATTGAACGTGAATGTGAAATACTTACAGCCAAACCGGTGTATACGATGACATAAGCAAAAATAAGTCCGTAGCCCTGGTTGGTTGTATGCTCGTTAATGGGCTCGGAGGAAAGCAGGATGGCCTTGTTTAAGAGGAAAGGCTGAGCAAACAAGAATCCGATCAAGCAGAGACGCGGGAAGGCAATGGACAAGATTGGCCATTTGAGCGTCTTGAAAGTCACCATGAGCAAGGAATTTGGCGTCTTAGATTTGACTGCAGACAGGAATGAACGTTAGCATTATGATACCCTGAAACAAACTGCATGATGTGAGACATACCTTTATCCCATGCGTCGTTCATGCGCTGGTGAATACGTTCCGACAGCAAATGCTTGTCCAGTTCGTATAGATCTTCCACGAAGAGTAGCTTGGAGAATCCGTCCCAGAAAAGAGCGTTCAACCAGACGAAGAAACTTCGGTTGAAGATACCAGCAGTGGCCTCTGGAGGATACGACTTGTACTCCGGCTTGAGCATGAATCTCTTCTCGGTAACCTCCAGGAGCAAAATGACGAATTTCAAAGCAACAGTAGCAGTGAAGCCCCAGGCGATGATTTCACCGGTTCCATCAGTGTCTCGGAGCCATAGAGTCCTTGCTCGAGCAACATCGAAAAGGAGGGTGAAGAAGAAGAATACATTGAGCATCAAAGATGGGGTGGTCGTGTATAAATGTTCTGCGTAGGAGAGGAAGATGAAGAGAATAGAAGCAACAAGCGTTAGGACGTTGACCGCGATCGAGAGCTGCGTTCTATAGACATCGGGACGGGTCCACAAGATTACAAGCAAAAGCTGCAATCCACAGTATGCTGCAAGAGCGGTCTATGGGCAAGCAGCCACCCGTAAGTATATCGTCCAATTTGAAATACCAAGCTCATAACGGGCCACGCGATATGAAAAGCACTCACCATTTTCATATGTGCCAAGGGGGTGTCCTCGACTTTCCGTTTTTTCTTCAAAAGATATGCAATTCGGAAAGGTGTCAGCAAGATCATAATGCATAGCGGTACCAATGTGAGGATGCTCTCCTCGAAGAGGAGAGTGAAGTCGAAGGCTCCACGGCATTGCTGAGCCCATGGACCAAATGTCCGGTCTTCCACCAGGGCACAGTGCTCGTTCGACGCCATGATGCCCGAATGTTGATACCAAGAATAATGAGGAATTGCTCAAAAATGAGCAGGAGGTCGAAGAGACAGATCTCGGGGAATATATTCTAAACCTCACACAGATGAAGGCGGCATTGACTAGGGCACGTTTGTTTCTTTTCCTTTTTGAGTCAATCAAGTGGGCTGCCCTGTTACGGATCTAAGCTAGATCCTCTATGGAGTACGGAGTACTAGCCACGGACACCGGAGGTAGGGAAGGGAGGTATGGGAGATTTGACAGGATTTCAGAATCAAAACGAAGGACAAAGGGGAATGTCGAGGACAGTTTATCTGCGAATTCAATAGAGCTGTCAAGGCTGAAAATTTTTCCTTTTGCAGCTGAGCTACGACACTGCCATCTGGAATCATGCCGAGACTGCCCGTCACGATGTGCTTGCTATTGGAGCTATGCACTATTTTGAGCATCTGGTGCGGAATGGCACAGTTCTGTGCCGTTTAACCTCGCCATTCTTGGAAGGCGACCCTGTACCCTTCGTATTGACTTTGTCACTGAGCTAACTCTGAATATTAAAAATAGAAGATCATAAATATCAAGAACAGAGATCAACTTGGGAGGGATGGGAGCAGTGGATACCCTTACTTCCTCCTACCCCCCTAGCTCTTTACTCCGTACTTTCTGCTTAAAGTCTGGAAGTATAAGAGGAAAAAAAGAAAAGAATTACAAAAAAACAACAGCAACAGCTTGATAGAAGGAGAAGAAGCGAAGCGGGAAAGGAACAAGATGCAAAAAAAAAAAGAAAAGAAAAAGAAAAATAGGGGCAAAACGACAGCCAGACAAAAGGAACCAATCGAGGCAACCATAGCAGATATCCTCGCCCAAGGACTGCACTGGCAAGGCCACAGGCAGTCCGGAGAAATTGGGAGGAGATAGCCGTGGAACAGGGATGGGATCATGTTGAACCATGGACCCCCTCCATCAATGACGGAAAATACCCATATGAACAGTCACCGGGGGGAGCAGGAGAGTCATAGATCCTTTCAAAGGCAGACCAGGAATACATCTGCGGTCTCCTACTGAGATTCGGAGTACAAAGTAGTTCAGCGATATCTGAGCTATCTGGTACAGTACCAGAGGATCAGCCACCCCCCCAGCAGCCGGGCTCGACCCGATGCGTGAAGGAAAGCATCACGCTTGACGCAAGCCAGGGAGCCAGTGATTGATCGAGGGGTGCCGACGATCCCACGCTCCGTTAAGATGGAAGAAGCAACTAGTGGAAGCAAAAGCAAAAACCAATGGTGTTTGGAATAAGCCACGTTCTTCTGCGTTCTTTGCAAAATTCCGACAGACTCAGAAGTACCGGTACTTAAACGAAAAAGGCTAATTGCCTGGCTTGATTTGACTATGGAGATCTGGCTTGGCCAAGCTTTCCCAGGATGAGTAGGCGAAAGAAGCATGGGGAGCCCGCAGTCGGTCAAGGCCAAGGGGGTCAGCCAGATAATTTATCGACAGCGCAGCAGCGGTCGAATGGCCAGGGGGTGCTCTATCACCCACCAGGTTCCAAAAGAATACGAACCTGGCCTGGGGACCTTGGATTAGGGAGCAATCCAAAAAGGGAAACACGCACGAATTTTTCTTTGGTCTGTGATAGAGGGACGGACAATTACTGCGGATAATAGCCAAGGGGAGTGGAAAAAGGAACGAGCCAGCGGAAAGTTTTATAGTCACCTTTTCCCTATTTGATATACGGACAGTTATGTCACTAAAAGATATGGAATTCTTTTTTCTTTCTCCCTTTCATTTCTCTCTTCTTTTCTTCTTTTTCCGATAAACGGATCAATCAGGCTTCTTCTCTTGCAAGCGTCAGAGAGCGGCCGGTTTGCTCAGCCTTACTAGTCGCGAAGATCATCGTGGCCAACAAGAGAGGCCCAAACTGCACTCCGTATCATAACGTTGGCGATCGGCTGCAGCCACCAACTGCCGCAAGACCGTCTGACGGCGACTGACATCCAGCCATGTCGCTCCACGTTAGTAAGATGCCCACCGTTTCTCCTGATTCCCCGTTCTTGGTCGCAAAAGGAAAAGTCCATCTTCTCGTTTACAAGATTCCCTTTCACCGGATTCTGCGTTAAAGGCCCAGTCAGCTCGTGGCGCCCTGGAGACTATACAGAAACGGATAGAATTAAAATTCACCAGAAGCTACGGAGAATGTTTTGTCCATCGTTACCGGAGTGCGAATCAAGGGCTCCACAACTCGTATTGACTAGGGATCTAACGAGCTAATGACGATGCTGCTTCACACTGGAACATCCATGCAAATTAATTTTTTTTTCACCTGGAGATGGATACTACTCCATAGCAACATGGTTACTCCGTACTGACTGTGTTGAGGTCTAACCTGCGGCTTGCATGGTGCACACTTAGCGTGTGCACCTCCCGAATGAGCTTTAACGACTGAGCCTCCCTCATGAAGGTTGCAAATTGCGCTGGTCCAAGAGACCAGGGGCTTAGTTGACCGACCGGAGGCTGAACAGCTTCTTGTTTGGGTGCGGGAGCGAGGGTGAGGGCCATGGCGAGATGCATGCTGGCTCTTGGAAGTGAAAATTTTGGTCCCGACTACAGGCCACCTGTGCATCTGCATCCATCCCCTGGCCATGCAGTGGCCAGGTTTGGCGAACAGCGGCGGACCAGCTTTGAAGCCTTGGTCATAGTTAAACCATATATGGTGGAGGAAACATCAACAGCACAATCTGGGCCAGTCTCCAAGATGTTGCTCTCTCTCAAGAAGAAGAAAACAAATGATAAAAATAAAAGTAAACAAATAAAAAAAGAGTACGGGGATCGATGTCGCGATTTGTACCACTCGAATCTGCACGAATTATATCATTTGGTGCTTGGATGGTGCTGGTGAGCATCTAAGCGACAGGATTTGGCTCAAATTGGGATATCAGCCTAAGAAATCTGCCCTTTTTGTCTTACCCATTATTGCTCCCCGGGACTGCGATGAAACTTCTATTCTTGCCTCTCATGTTCTTCATGCATACGGAGAGGCGAAAATAGTCATGCTGTCCGGTCTCGAGGGTGGCTCTTGTTACATTGCCTGCCGCCAAATGAAGGCCGCTCCTGCAACATGCTTATGCTAAATGTCGGAAGGCGGGCATCGAGGCTTCTGGTCTATAACAGCTGAAGGAGCGGGGTCTCTCTGCTGGCGTTTTGTCACTGCCGCTGCTGCCTGCCTGGCGCAATTTCATGTCTTACGATATCCAAGAATAGCAATACCCTCGTGCTGGCTAGGTTGTTCTCGTAAACACGGCTTCCACACAGTCACATAAACCTGTATGCCACGAGGGGTGTACGGGTACAGGTACAATGCAAAAACGCCGGCGTGGAGGAGTACATTTGTGTACAATGCCGGTACGATGCCCTGCCGGCGTGGGTGTGTGAGTATAAGCAAGAGCTGAGAAAGGAAGTATCAAGGTTAACGATACTGGGGTAGGATGGGAAAGGTTGGGGATAAATTTGGAATATCCTGCCAATGCCACGTTATTCTCCCTCCGGCTACTGATTTGACGGTGCAAAGTCCGTCTTATCGTGACTTCAAACACACTGGCTGGCCATGGAGATCACAAAGATCCGGCCACCGTCTAGCCCGAGCGTTCTCCCGCTGCCCAGACAGGGCAGGGCGCGAAAGGCGGAACCAGGCCGTGGGCTGGCGTTGATCCCAAGAACGTCCTCCCCGTATAACTACTTCACTGCGCCATATTGAGAATGAGTTAATAAAAGTGAGTATGGACACATTGGGTTTACGAGCGTGGTTGAATAAGGCTGCGCGAAAGGGTTAACTTGAGGCCGAAGACAAATAATAATAATAATACTAAATAATAGCAATAAGAACAACAATAAGATATATACTTAGGCTAACTATCCCAGCCGTGTCGATGAGCTTCGTTTAGCGCGAGGCTACCAAGAATAGAAGCTGGCGGGTCCTTCACAGCCTCCCCCACTTAATGGAGCCTCAAGGGACTTAGTGGGCCTCAATTGGCCCAGTGGGGTTGAAGAATGCTGGTTTCACAACCGCGAAAGACTGACCAGTTATCCATATCTCCAGTATTTCTTGGAATCTCGTGCTCTGAGCTTGTGGGGCCTGGGAACGGACTGGCACGGGTATTGACGTCAACCAGTGGAATCGCTTCTGTTTTGACTTGACTTCGCGGGAAAAGGGCGGACGGACGGTGTTGCGATGGTTGTTGGTGGTTAATGTTCATGTTGTTGGTGGTGTTGGCGGTCGACCTGGCCAGCACCTCCCTCCCAGAACGGGTCTCCCAAGAACTAGGAAATTACTTCGATGAGGCCAGAGTAAGTTATATCCGGGTGCAGCCGTGGAGAAAGGACTGGCCTGATCAATCACATCATGGCCATCACGCACTCCCCTCTCGGAATGAACATCTTCCGTCCTCCATTGTTACATTCTCCTCAAGCATTGACCGCCAAAACATGCAAGTGGCCTGGTGAGCAGGCAAGAGAAGTGGCTGTGCGAGTGCGATTGTGAGTGGTAGACCGAGTGTTTAGTGAAGCGTGGTTGGTACTACTCTATATGTGTGTGTGTGTTAACTTCCTGCAGAAGCCTTGTCACGTTGTGAGGCCAAGTAAGTCTATGTTCGATGCAATCTGGTGTTGTGTCACTAAGCATGCTGTGCTTGCGCCGATCGCCAGGTGTTTGGTGGTTGGTGTTTGGTGGTGGCGCATCCTTATTCCTTTATTCCTTCTTTCTCTCAAGTCTCTTGTCTTTGGCACTTCGCCTTTCCTGCTTTTCTTCCCGTTTCATGTGCCTCTTCTTCACTCTCGCTTGTCGCTCGTCCCTCGTCCAATACCAGAGACAACGGCACAACGCCAAGAGCAACCTTGAAGGAAGGAAAGCTCTATGTTCCCGTGACTATAGCGGCCCGTGGTTAATCCGAAGCGCGCGCTTAGCTCCTTCTAGCGTTAGCGCGCTTCTCGAAGGTGGCCAAGACATCGGAAGGAAGGCGCATGGACCACATTTTCCCTTCCTTTTTTTTTTGGGCTTGTCGTTTCTGCCGTCCGCCACCGCCTCGAGATTTCTTATTTCATCCTCACTTCTTTTTCCCTCGGTTTGAAACTGGACGAACGTCGCTTGTCCAGCGCCCACATACATATACTTCCCCAGACATACACCGTCATCTGGACAACCACAGTAGCCTCGTGGTGGCTGGTTGGGACTCATAGCCCATCACACGAAGTATCTCCAATGCACGCCATGCATGCAACTCCCGTGATGGTTCCAAAAATAAACACTGCAAACTCAGAGGGTCTCCCACCAGGTAGAAACCCGTATCCTAGATCCCAGCCAGAACACAAAAAAAGTTTTTGAACAACGACTGAAAAAGCAAAAAGCAGAAGATACATCGACTTCCGCCATTTCACATAAGAAATGAGACCTGAAAAATAAAAAGCAAATGCAGCCCAGAGCTGAAAAACCCAGAAAGCCAAAAAAAAGAAAAACAGAACTGAAAAAGCAAAAATCAATATGAAACTGCAAACCACAAGTCGGGACTGTTGAGTTTGCGTTTGTCTCGCTTTGCTTGATGAGCCAACCGTCTGGCTTCTGTTGCAGGCTGGCTCCCGGCAATTTGTGGGCATCTATCGGTCGACGGAAAGCGATGCCATACTTGCGAGGTTGATCCCGGGTGTTGGCTCCACGCCTCCCTCTGCTGGCCTTGTCCTTGGGACATGCAAGGTTATGGGACAAGCAAGGGGCCACCTCGGACATGGACCTGCTATCATTGAGACCACCTATGATTCGAGCTTCGATTTCGAGCAATGGCTCGGATATCACTCCGTAAATCCGGATGCTCGAGAAAGCCTTCCTCTGAGAGGGCGTGTCTGAATATACCAGCTTCAGCTTTTTCCCTACCCCCCTGTGGTCTTCCCGTCTCTCTTGTATAGGGTCGTATCGCGACTTAACTGACCTAGTTTATGTTATTTCTATTTTGGTCTTTTATTAGATTTCTAATTAGCCAATACCCCTTGAGCAAACCCGCCCTGCGGCTTTGATCGCTGTATATCCTGTAGACAGCCTCTCCTGCCCTTCAAGGCATCACTCTCAAGCCTCTTTACCCAAATTATTGTCCATTGTTCATACGAGCCTTCTTCACAACCAGCATTGATCGCTTTGCACATCACCTGAAGCTTCATCGACAGCCCTTCAACGGCCATGAGATAGCTCAGATCGACCAATCCATTTCCGAAACAGCTCAATTGCCCCTCTTGACATTGGCCAAAAAAAATACTGCCAATTCATTCTAGAGCTCTTCTTTTCGACATTTTCTGCCATTCCTCTACACCTCACCTCGAACGATACCCTCGAGGACGACTGGAGCAAAGCACATAATTATTCTCCTGCAAACAAAAGCTCTCACCGCGGTCAGTGTATCATAATCAAACTGCAAAACTAATATTTTCTCTCTATAGGACTGTCCCATCGCTCACTGCAGTCGCATTGTTTTTTTTGGGAATAGACTTACCCTGAATTTCACAGCTATAGATTAATTCCTCTCCTGTTTCTCACCACCACAATACCCGAAGCTCATCCATACTAGCTTGACTTGTAAGTCCGACAAAAACCGCAGTAAACGCACCATAGTCAAGATGCGATGCTGAAATTACCATGCTAGATTTTTTCACAGGCAAACCCAGAAACGACATTCATAAAACGCAACTATGCAGTCATCCGGAGGCAGCTCAGCCCACTGGGAGTCTCATCTCGCCGGTGTGGCTCCGTGCCATTTCCCTCGACTTGGAGCTTCCACTTCCGGGCCAAAAAGGCCGATGACAATCAAAGTGCCTCTAGACCAAACCCAGGCTCTAAAGGAGCTCTGTGAATCGAACACCACCGCATTACCTGCAGCTCTTCGCGCTACATGGAGCTTGGTACTACACTGTTATACCGGTGCCGAAGATGTTTGCTTCGGATACCAGGATGCGGCCGCTACAGCTGTTTTACCAGTAGCTCGACTGGCAGTTGAAGACGATACAGAGATGTCGCGGTTGGTCGAGGCCGCTCATACTGAGTATGAGAGTAGCCTGCCGTTTCACGGTGATGTTCCTCCCAGTGCGACCGGACCCGTGGGGCAGCGCCTCTACAACACCATTTTATCCTTTCGCAGTGCCGCTAAAGCTGGCTCCGCACCTCCTTCACGGGCCCCTAACACGGCTCTGCCGGAAGATGTAAGTAGCTGTTATGTGTACTTTCTGCAATTGTGACTTGGGAAAGCCCTTGTTAACAGTTTGGTGTACTGTAGTGTCGCATCCGGCTTATGACCAAGCTCATGAGCGGAAGAATGAGTATCTTCCTTGAGTGGTGGAGCGTCGACATGACTATGGAACAGGCAATGGGAGTTGCTTCGACTGTGGGCAAAGCTTTTACTGCCGCCGCTACCTCTCCAGCTCTCACGGTTGGCGCTTTTGATGCGCTAACTCCTCTCCACCTGAAGCAAATTTTGAAGTGGAACAATTACCCCTTGACCACCGTCAATCGCTGTATTCATGAAGTTATCCACGAAGTAGCCAACCGTCTGCCGGACGATGAAGCTATTTGTGCCTGGGACGGAAGCCTTTCGTTCAAGGAGCTAGACCATCTTACTTCTCGGCTCTCGCTCAAGCTGGTGGAATTGGGCGTGGGGCCGGAGGTCAGAGTCCCTCTTTGCTTTGACAAGTCGGTATGTTCCTTTCGTTCGTTCATTCATTCATTCATTCATTTTTTTTGCATTTTTGTTTTAATGGCATACTGCGTACGGAGTACTGCCACTAATAAATCGTGGGTGTCTATCATACGCTAACAATCTATCCGTCCCATAGAAATGGTATGTGGTTTCAATGGTCGCTGTTATGAAAGCTGGTGGAGCTTTTGTCCCCTTTGATCCTTCGCATCCGATCCCACGATTGCAAGGGCTAGTCAAAGCGCTCGACGCGTCGCTCCTTCTCTGCTCCGCCCACTATTCACAGCATCTCGCCACGGTCGCAAAAACCGTCCTGCCTGTCGACAATGCATTGGTAAAGGAGTTGCCTTCGGGCCCTGACGCTATCCGCTTCGCTAGCCGCGCCAAGCCCAATAACGCCGCTTATATTATTTTCACTTCGGGCTCCACCGGAGAACCAAAGGTCAGTGTTCGCAAACTATTCTGAATGGTCACGAACTTTCCGAGACAGATGTGACAGTTGAGATGGCAGATGTGATTTATACTGACATGTTATTAAGGGTGCACTATTGGAGCATGTTGCTTTCTGCTCGAGCGCCGCGGCTCACTGCGGGTCCCTTGGTATCACAGAGGGCTCTCGATGTTTGCAGTTTGCAGCACATACTTTCGACGCTAGTCTTGTCGAGATCCTCACCCCCTTAATGAGAGGGGCGTGTGTGTGCATCCCTAGCGAGGAGGCGCGACTGAATAACATCGTTCAGGCGATAAACGACATGCGCGTCAATGTCGCAACTCTAACGCCTTCTTTTGTGGGCTTTATCGAGCCGGCCGACGTCCCCTGCCTGGAGTATCTCGTCCTTGCTGGCGAGGCTATGTCCCAAAGCCATATTGATACCTGGTCGAAGATTAACCTCATTAACGGTTTCGGTCCAACCGAGACGGGAGTTGCTTGTGCTGTGAATTCGAATGTGACTGCGACAACAGATCCAAAGGATATTGGCTTTCCCGTTGGTGGACATACATGGGTGGTTAACTCCGAAGATCACGATCGGCTTGTTCCCCCTGGATGTGTGGGAGAGCTACTAGTTGAGGGACCCACTCTAGCCAGGGGTTACATCAACAACCCCGAGAAAACCACAGAGGCGTTCATTTATGACCCCGTTTGGTCTCGTACAGGCGAAACAAGAAGCGAAAAACGGCGATTCTACAAGACTGGTGATCTGGTCCGATACAATTCGCCCGAAGGATCTTTTAATTATGTCGGTCGAAAGGATACCCAGGTCAAATTTCATGGCCAACGAGTTGAGTTGGGTGAAATTGAGCATAAACTAAATCTGGCACCACATGTAAAGCATGGCCTGGTGCTGCTTCCAAAGACCGGTAATTGTAAAGGCAAACTGGTCTCCATTCTCTCGTTCTCTGACGACGTTACCGAGAAATTTACCAATGACCCAAAGTCGCTTCGACTGATTGAGACTAAGGAGAGAGATGAGTACGTTGACATCGCTCGTGAGGCCATGGCCGGCCAACTACCTGCGTACATGGTTCCCTCCATCTGGGTCTGCATGGAGTCTCTTCCTCGGCTACCTTCAGCAAAGCTGGATCGTAAAGGGGTCGCCAAGTGGATAGATGCTATGTCAGAAGATGTCTACCATGAAGTGTCTGGAGCACAGCAACTGGAAGCCGGTAATAGCGAGATGTCTGAGCCTGCCAATGCCGTTGAGGCCGCGATTCAGGCTGCTTGGAGCCGCATTCTGAACATTCCCCTCAATCGCATCAGCTTGGATCAGAGCTTCCTTAGCCTTGGCGGCGATTCCATAACTGCCATGACATGTATGGGCCAATGCAAGAAGGCAGGCCTTGGCTTCACTGTCCAAGAGATTTTGCGGAGCAAGTCCATCCGAGCCCTGGCTCTCTGTGTTAAAGAAGTCAAGAGAGCGGTTGATCTCAAAGAAGAAATAAACGTTGACTTCGAGCTTCAGCCTATCCAACAATTTCACTTTACTGTCAGGAATGACGGGCTGGGACACTTCAACCAGAGCTTCTTCCTTAAGCTGTCGAGGAAGACGAGCGAGCAGTCCCTCCAACGTGCCGTTGATGCCCTTGTTGAGCGACATTCTATGCTGCGGTCTCGATTTAGACAGTCAGGACCCAATGGCGAATGGCGGCAATATATCACCAACGATTATAAAACGTCGTGCAGGTTTAGAGCTCACCAAGTCCAAACGCAGAAGGGCGCTGAACCTGCAATTGCGGATAGTCAAGCTTCAATCAGCGCTACCAAGGGACCTCTCTTTGCGGTAGACCTATTTGATGTGAATGGCAGCCAGCAACTTCTGTTCATGACAGGTCACCATTTGGCCATTGATTTGGTCTCTTGGCGTGTCATCTTGGAGGACCTCGAGGAACTTCTTGTTAACCCTACTAATCCATCTCTCAATGACAAGTCAATTCCCTTCCAAACATGGGCTAAGCTTCAAACAGAACATTGCCAGGACCTCAGTCTATCACATGTTCTGCCAAATGATAATATACCCCAAGCCAACTTTGCCTACTGGGGCGCGGATGTCAAAGGTAACACCTATGGCGCTTCTGCAGCTGAGGGATTTGAGATTGATGCTTCTACGACCTCTTTCCTTCTCACTGACTGCCACAATGGGCTTCGCACGGAACCTGTTGACCTTTTTGTGTCTATTCTTATCCATTCATTCAGCCAAGTTTTCACCGATCGTGAGCCCCCTGCCATTTACAACGAGGGCCACGGCCGTGAAATCTGGGATGAATCAATTGATATTGCCAGGACTATTGGATGGTTTACCACTGTTTATCCCATCTTTGTTTCCAACTCTGCATCTAAGGGCCTGGTAGACATTACTAGAAATGTCAAGGATATTCGCCGCGCTGTGCCCGGAAATGGCCGGCCATACTTTGCTACTCGCTGGTTGACTGACAAGGGCCGAGCAGCTTGGGGCCACCATGCCCCTATGGAGCTGTCATTTAACTACCTTGGCCAATATCAACAGCTCGAACGAGAAGGTGCTCTACTCAACCCTGTTGATGAGTTGGCTGGTGAAGCCAAGGAAGCTGGCGGAATTGCTGATTATGCCATTGGTACTCCTCGGTTCGGTCTTTTTGAGATATCTGCTGTTATTGCTGCCGGAAAACTCAGGTTTTCCTTCACTTTTAACCGACACATGAAGTACCAGAATCTAATTCGACAGTGGATTTCTCACTGCAAGAGCTCCTTGCAAAACGCCTCAAAGCTATTCATGGGATTGCCCTTCACGCCTACTCTCAGCGACTATCCTCTTCTAGCATTGAATTATGACACGCTAGATTCTATGATAACCGAAAAACTTCCACTCGTTGGAGCCAAAAGTGCACAAGATATTGAAGATGCCTATCCTTGCTCCCCCATGCAACAAGGCCTTCTCCTTAGCCGCAGCAAAGATGGTGCCTTCTATGCAGTGAATGGCACTTACGAGGTGAAGCCCAAGAAAGGTAACACTGTTAACGCCGAAAAACTTGCAGCTGCCTGGGGTTTGATTGTGCGGCGCCATGCCTGCCTTCGAACTGTCTTTATTGAAGGTCTAAGCAGTAATGGCGTTTATGATCAAGTTGTTTTAAAACAGTTGCCTTTTGGGCCTTCACGACTTCGTTGTACTCGCGAATCGGAAGTCTTAGCAACTTTGAACGGCCAAGGTTTCATGCAATATACTGATCACACACCTGCTAATCGTTTCACTATATGTGAAACCTCAAATGGAAAAGTATTTTGTCGGTTGGAACTGAGTCATGCTGTTATGGATGGTGCATCGATGTCCATCATATTCGACGATCTATGTCGTGCTTACGCTGGAGAGCTCAAAGACGAGACCGGCCCACTATTTAGTGCCTACGTCGCCTACTTACAGACTCAGTCGTTGGATCATGGTCTTTCATTTTGGAAGCCTTACCTTAGTGGACTGGATCCATGCCATTTCCCGGTTCTAAATGACGGTGTCACTGTTAAGAAGGAACTCCACAACATCAGGCTTGAGTTCAGGGAGCTAGCTACTCTTCAGGGGTTCTGTGACGCCCAGGGGCTTACCTTACCAAACGCCATCCACACTGCGTGGGCATTGACTCTTCGGGCATTTGTAGGCTCTGAAGACACCTGCTTTGGCTATCTCTCTTCTGGACGTGACGCACCAATTGATGGCGCGGATGCTGCTGTTGGCCCGTTCATTAACATGCTTGTTTGCCGTGTTAAGATGCCAGGAGATGCTTCCCTTCTAAGTGTTTTGGAGCAGGTGCAGAAGGATTACATGGACAGTTTGCCTTATAAGCACACATCTTTGGCCGAAGTCCAACATGCGCTGAAACTTTCTGATACTGCACTGTTTAATACTTGCGTTTCTTACCGCAAACTTCCCCCAAATAAGAACAAGAAGCCTTTAATAGCCTTCGAAGAATTTGCCCCGACACATGACCCCGACGAGTACCCAATCTCCATCAACATTGAAGCTTCGGATGAAGTCGTCGCTATCGACCTTGATTACTGGACTGACTCCATTTGTGACAAACAGGCCAGAAATGTCGCTTCCTCATTTTTCCGTTGCCTGGAGAATATCACTCATAATTCCCACCTTGAGATTGCCAAACTTGACAATCTTAGCAATTTGGATTATGAGACGATCTGGGACTGGAACAGTCACATTCCCCCAACTATTCCCGACTGTATTCACTATGTAATAGCCAAGCAAACTGCCCAAAGACCCGACGCCCCAGCTATTTGTGGATTTGACGCAAGTTTTACCTACAAGGAACTTGATGAAGTCTCAACCCGTTTGGCTTCATACCTTGTTGCCCTAGGCGTTGCCCCAGAAACTTTTGTGCCGACCTGCTTCGACAAATCTGCCTACACTGTTGTTTCTATGCTTGCTGTTTTGAAGGCAGGTGGTGCCTGTGTTCCGCTTGATGCTACCCACCCTATGCCCGCCCTTGAGACCAGAGTAGTTGACACCGAGGCTCAAATTGTCGTTGCATCGGCCGCCAGGGCTGCCATGTTTGATGATATGGTCCCTTATGTTGTTGCTGTTGACGCAGAATTCCTCGAACAACTCCCTGACTATGGCGAGGACATTGGCATCCCTGCTGAACCGAGTAACCCTGCAATCGTGATATTCACTTCTGGCAGTACTGGAAAGCCAAAGGGCGTGGTACTTGAACATAGTGCAATGGTCACTAGTGCTGAAGCTCATGGTTCTGCTTTAGGCGTTGGACCTGATACACGATTCCTACAATTTGCCACTTATACCTTCGACAACAGTCTTGAGGAAATGTTCACCACTCTCATGCGTGGCGGGTGTGTCTGTGTTCCTTCGGAAGATGACCGCTTCAATGACTTGGCTGGTGCTATCGACAGGCTCGATGCCAACTTCATGGATCTGACACCTACGGTTGCCACTTTCCTGAAGCCAGCTGATGTGCCTAAAATCAAAGCTATGGCTGTTGGTGGAGAAGCTTTGACTAAAAAGGCTCAGGAAATTTGGGGAGGCTCTATTCAGATGCATAACCAATATGGTCCCTCAGAATGCTCCATTAATTGTGCTCATAATCCAGATGCTGGCACTATTGAGGATGTCTCTAACATAGGGCGCAGTGTTGGTAGTGTCTCCTGGGTTGTCGATCCAGCGGACCATAATAAGCTTGTTCCAGTCGGGTGTGTTGGCGAATTGTGTGTCGAGGGTCCAATCGTTGCCCGTGGCTATCTTAATGATGCAGAGAAGACAGCTAAATCCTTCGTTATAAACCCAGCTTGGACAGCTCATGACCCTAACATACGCGAGTTCCCTACGCGACGTATGTACAAGACTGGTGACCTTGTTCGTTATAATAGTGACGGAACAATGGCATTCCTTGGTAGGAAAGATACCCAAGTCAAATTCAATGGACAGCGAATTGAACTTGGTGAAATTGAGTACCACGTGAAGGAAAACCTGCCAGAGGAATCTCAATCCGCAGTGCAGCTTGTCGTTCTCGGCGGCGCAAAATCTCTTGCTGCCTTCATTTACCTGGAACCCTCTGCTGATGCTGACGCTGAGCAGACCATCCTTCCAATGACGGCTTCCATCCAGTCGTTGGCCAAACACCTGGAAGCTTCAGTGACAAAATCTCTACCTGCGTACATGGTTCCTTCAAGTTATATTCCGGTTGCAAGAATGCCGATGACCTCCTCCGGAAAACTAGACAGACGTACCTTAACTATCTGGGCCAAGGATCTACCTGATGATGTGGCCATTACATACAGACTTGGTGGTGTTGGCGGACGAGCCCCTGAAACGGAGGCTGAGAAGATCTTGCAGGGACTTTGGGCAGCAGTCTTATCGAAGCCTGCATCCTCCATTGGTGCTGATGATAGCTTTTTCCGTCATGGAGGTGACTCTATCGGAGCGATGAAGCTAGTTGCAGCGGCTCGAGTTAAGGGAGTCACTCTTAGTGTTTCTAAGATCTTTTCCTCCCCTAAGCTTTGTGATATGGCTAGCACCTGCTCAATATCTTCATCGAGCAAATCTCTTGGAGCCAGCCCTATCGAAAAGGAGCCAGTGAAACGCTTTGAACTTCTTCCGCCCAGTGTTTCTATAAATGCTCTCGTGGACGAAGTCTCTTCAATCTGCGATGTTGATGCTTCGAATATACACGATATGTACCCATGCACGTCGCTACAAGGCGGACTTGTTGCACTTTCTAGCAAAACTCCAGGATCCTATGTTGCTCAAAGCACCTTCAAGCTACCCGCTGACCTTGACTTTGATAAGTTCAGAACATCCTGGCAAGCTGTAGCTGATTCAGAGGTTGTTCTCCGTACTCGAGTTGTCTTCACCGACTTGCTTGGATTCTTACAAGTTGTTGTTAACGAGCCCATTGAGTGGAATTCTGTTACTAGTTTGAGCAATATCAAAGATGAAAACCGTCACCTTCCTGGTCGTGACGGCGGCCCCCTTGCGAAATACACAATTGTTGGAGAAGGAACTTCCAATCCATATTTTGTGTGGACCGCACACCACGCGTTGTATGATGGCTGGAGTATCCCCACGCTTCTTGAACGAGTGGCCTACTGCTATAAGAACCCAGAGTCTACCAGCACAGGAACTGAGGCCTCCTTCCCAGATTTTATCAAGTACCTGTCAACTATCGATAAAAAGGCTTCTGATGACTTCTGGATTTCGAAGTTAGAAGACCCAAAAGCTACACCTTTCCCTGCCCTCCCGTCTACTTCATACAAAGTCCAGGCTACAAGCAAGTGTACTCACTCTGCTCAAGTGGCACAATCCTCCTCAAGAGAAACCACCATCGCTTCCATTATTCGCGCTGCATGGGGTCTTACTATGGCTTTCTACACCTCGTGCGATGATGTTATCTTCGGCGAAATCCTTACTGGTCGCGATGCCCCCGTTCCCGGTATTGAGGACATGATTGGACCTACTCTTACATCCATCCCTTCAAGAATTCAGGTCAATCGTGACCAAACGGTCGCTGAATATTTACAAGACATGCAAAAGCAGCTAGCCGAAACGATGGCCTATCAATTTGCAGGCCTGTCTCAAATTAAACGCCTTGGAGATGATGCTTCGACCTCCTGTGAATTCCAGAACGCTATTGCTATCACACAGGATGCAGACGAGACTGCTGACGGATTTTGGGAGATGACAAGCTCAGGAACCACTGGAAATAACTTTTATACGTACCCGCTCAATCTTTCATGCACCCTGCGTCAACCTAACGGAATTGATATTGAGGCATACTATGACAAGGATATTATTTCTACTTGGCAAGTAGAGAGACTGCTGCGACAGTTTGATACCATCCTGCGCAACTTGTCCTTAGGCGAGAATGCGCAAATGAAAGTTGGAGAGATTGAACTGGTTAGCTCCGAAGAACGGAAAGAACTTGAAATTATCAACAAGAATGGAGCAAAATTCGTTGACCGGTGCATTCATGATCTTATCCAAGAGCAAGCCAAACTACGGCCGCAAGCAGAGGCTATATGCTCCTGGGACGGAACATTCACATATCAGGAGCTTGATAATCTATCAACAGCCCTTGCACATCACCTTATTGAACTAGGTGTACGGTCGGACCCTGAGATGTTTGTGCCTATCTGCTTTGAGAAATCGGCATTTGCAATCATTTCTATGTTGGCAATTTTCAAAGCTGGCGGAGCGTTTGTCACCATCGATCCAGAACACCCAATTTCTCGACTCCAAGGCATTATCGCTGACGTTGAGGCGTTCCTTATTCTCTGTTCACCAAAGCATCAGGAACTGTGTGATTCTGTTGCACCCCAGGCACTTGTTGTCGATCTCGAGATGCTTCAGCAACTACCAAAACAACATCTGCCAACTCCCGAGGTCGCACCTACTCATGCTGCCTATATAATCTTTACCTCTGGGACAACGGGAACCCCGAAGGGAACCCTGAGTAAGTCTTACATTGCCACTCTAATTTTGGTGTTTTCTAACACGTTTACAGTTGAACATTCTGCATACTGCTCCTCTGCTGCTGCCCATGCACCCGCATTGGGAATTACGGCAGAGTCTCGCACCCTTCAATTTGCATCATATACCTTCGATGCGTGCTGCCCTGAGATCCTAACAACTCTCATTGTTGGAGGATGCGTTTGCGTTCCAAGTGATTGGGAACGACTTAATGATATCAGCAACTACATCAAGGACAAACGCGTGTCAAATGCGACCTTGACCCCATCCTTCGTCCAATTAATGAATCCGGATGATGTTCCGAACCTGAAATACCTTGCACTTGTTGGAGAGGCGATGTCATCTGCACATGTAGTGAACTGGGCTGGCAAACTAAATTTGCTAAATGGATACGGGCCCAGCGAGTGCTCGGTTTCCGCTGTCATCAATAGCAAGATGGACGTCAATAGCAATCACAAAAACATCGGCCGCCCGCTCGACCGATGTTGGATTGTTGACCCTGTTAACCATGATAGGCTGGTGCCCATTGGAGCAGTTGGAGAGTTATTGATAGAGGGTGCTACTCTCGCGAGAGGCTACCTCAAAAGAGCGGATAAGACAAAGGAAGTGTTTATACAAAATCCAAAATGGGCATGCCAGGGTAATGGTGCCATACGGAGAATGTATAAGACGGGTGATCTTGTTAAGTACGATCCAGATGGCTCTATGAATCTCGTTTTTATGGGCCGCAAAGATACTCAGGCTAAAGTTCGAGGCCAACGACTGGAGCTTGATGAAGTTGAGCACCACCTTGGTGCTGACATCCTCATCCAACACGCCCTTGTAGCAGTTCCAGTGAAGGGTTTTGCCGCTAAAAAACTCACTGTTGCAGTCACATTCCATCACCTTCGTGCCTCGGTGGCTACAGCTACTTCTCTGGAGGTCATTAGATCAGAAGAGGCTATAAGAATGGCATCAGAAGCTCGAGAGCGCCTGAGAAAACGACTTCCCGGTTACATGGTTCCTTCGAAATGGATCGTTTTCCATCAATTACCACTAATGTCCTCCGGGAAGCTCAACAGGAGACAAATTGTTACATTCATGGAGAAAATGCAGGACAATCCAGACGCGACTCCCATGGTCACTCCAGATGCCCCAGAGACTCATCCAGCCAAAGCAGTCGAAGTCGTCCCTCAAATTGATATCCGTGAAAGTCTCTGGAAGGTGTGGAGTCAAATACTCAATTTACCAGTAGAAGAAACTGATATGAAATCTTCATTCCTTCATCTGGTACGTATATTCCATATCCTTTCTTGCAAATTCCCAATATTTAATTTACTAACCCAATCATAGGGCGGTGATAGTATTTCCGCCATGCAAGTCATGGCTAGATGCCGTTCCCAGGGTATTACTGCAAATGTGCAGGATATCATGCAGAGCAAGTCAATTATGGATTTGGCAACTCGGGTCAAGGTCTCAAAGTCACTTGCCACTGCACCTCTGAAAGAGACAAAAGCAGTTGAGAACGGAAAGCCATTCAGGCTTTCTCCCATCCAGCAGGTTTACCTTGACAATGCTGGAGATAACTGGAAGCAATTCAATCAAAGCGTTTTGCTGAAGATTACCAACAGAAAGAGCAATGATGCCATTTCCCGAGCTATGAATCAGCTGATGAGCCTCCATCCTATGCTGCATGCTCGATTCCAGCGAAACAAGAATGGAGAGTGGCGCCAGCACATCAGCAGTGACTTGAAGGGGTCACTCAAATTCCAAACGCATTCTGATGCACGACGCGGCCAGATGAGTTCTTTGATTGAGCAGAGCCAGAAGGCTTTGGACATCGAAAACGGGCCTCTTGTTGCTGTCGATATATTCGCTTTGCCGGGATCTGAGACCCAGATGTCGATAGCAATTCATCATCTTGTCATTGATGTTGTCTCCTGGAGAATCGTCCTCCAAGACCTTGAGGACCTGCTGAACGGCGCATCTATCACCCGCCAAGATTTAACCTTCCAGTCCTGGTGTGAGCTGCAGATACAGAATGCTCAAGAAGACAGCGTCCAACGTGTTATTCCTGCAACCGCTATTCCACCAGCAGACCTTAGTTACTGGGGTATGACCGGAAAATCTAACACCTTCGGTGAAGTTCTGACTGAGGAATTCGAATTCGAACAATCAACTACGACGCACATTCTTGACGCTTGCCAGAAACAACTTGGAGCTGACCTGGTTGATGTTCTTCTTGCTACTATTCTTCTCTCCTTCCGTCAAGAATTTAGTGATCGTCGAGTTCCACCCGCAGTCTTTAATGAAGGTCATGGTAGAGAGCCTTGGACTCCAGCTACGACCCTTCGTCCATCGTTGGATGGTTCACCACATGAGTCTGTATAACCTTCAGTTGACGCGACACTGATTCAGTAAGTCTATCCTTAACATCTTTATGCATATTAATGGCTCTAATCAAGTTTACGGTAGGCCATTCGTTTATTGATACCATTCGATGGGTCCCAGGACTTCCGGTCTAGGACTCCCCGGTAAAGGTAGGCCATATTTTGCTTGCCGCCAGTTAACGCAGGCCGGAAAAAGAAGCATTTGGAAACCATTGGCCAATGGAGGTTGCTTTCAACTACTTGGGCCAGATGCAAGCAAACAGTCAAGCGCGGTCTCTTCTAGAACCGGTTGATGGAGCGGGTGGACAATCTGTCAATTCCCTTTCCGATATTGGCCCTGACGTGCCTCGCTTCGCACTTATCGAAATATCAACGGTCATAGAACAAGGTATCTTGAAATTTTCCCTTACTTACAATAAAAACATGCATCGACGACAGGGCATTCAAGGCTGGTTTTCAAAGTGCAAAACTCTGCTTGAGAGTTCTTGCAAAATGTCACAACTACAAACCCTTACACCCGCACAATTCCCACATTTACCTCTAGCTTTCGGTAGCTCAAGGAGAATTGCTGAAGAGCTGCCTTCTCTCGGCGTTCAATCCTTGAACGATGTTGAGGATGTCTATATGATATCCCCCATGCAACGTGGTATCCTGATCAGCCAGTTGAAAGATCCCAAGAAGTATGCCTATCATTCCGTTTTTGAGGTGAAGTCAAATAAGAGAGGCCATCGTATCGACCTTCAACAATTGGAAGCAGCTTGGCAGGTTGTTGTTCGCCGCCATAGTGCTCTCCGGACCGTGTTCATCGACAGTGTATCCGGCAACAACCTGATGGATCAAGTGGTTTTGAAGCAATTCCATGCTCGAACGCTTCTGCGAGAACCTTCAAACGAAGACTACAACGCTGCTATCGAAAACTTAGAGCCACTGGACTACACGGAGAAGCAGCCACCACATCGTATGACGCTCTGCCAGACACCAAGTGGAAGAGTTGTCTGCAAGCTTGAGATCAGCCATGCAGTCTCTGACGGCTCTTCGATGATGAACATGTTGAATGATTTGTCTACGGCATACAACTCCACTTCAGATTTGGATACTGCAATGCCGTATAGTGACTTCATCGCTCATCTCCAGTTAACCTCGAAGGAAGCTGGTGTTGCCTACTGGAAAACATACCTTAGCGGTCTTGAACCATGCACATTACCTTCACTGGCTTCAATTCCACTTCCAAAGGAGAGAGCAGTTGGGGAATACGTTATGAAGCTCCCTATAGGATCCGAGCTGCAATCCTTCTGTAAGCAAGAAGGACTTACTCAGTCCAATGTCCTACAGCTGGTTTGGGGACTTGTGCTTCGCGCCTATACCGGCTCCGACGAAGTCTGCTTTGGATATGTCGCTTCTGGGCGTGACCTACCGATAGATGGCATTTATGAAGCTGTGGGTGCTTTCATAAATATGCTAATATGCCGCCTTAACTTGACAGATAACTCTGTTCTCATTGATATCCTCCAGAAGACTCAGTCTGACTACATGCAAAGCATCAGCTATCAAAATTGTTCCCTGGCAGAGGTGCAGCACGAGCTGGGCTTGGGAGACACTGCGTTGTTTAACACTGTCTTCACATTCCAGAAGCGACCTAGCTCTGATGACGCTGAAGATACAGCGCTTTCATTCGAATCAATCGGAGCTACTGATCCCAATGAGTTCAATATGTCTATCAACATTGCTGCCATAGACTCCGACCTTGAGATTGATTTTGGCTATTGGTCCGATACTGTGTCTGATGCCCATGCTGAAAATATTGCCAATACCTTCAAACAAGTCCTCAGCGACATTATTGAATATGGTATCGATAGACCCCTAGGAGACATTAACCACTTCGGTGAGCACAGCTACCAGCAAGTGCGTTCTTGGAATGCTCAGAGTCCCCAGGTAGTCGACAAGTGTGTTCATGAAATCATCGAGGAGCAAGCGATGTTGCGCCCTCGTTCGGCTCTTGCCATATGTGCATGGGATGCAACTTTCACTTACTCAGAGCTGGATGCTGCCGCATCTCGCGTCGCTGCACAGCTGATGAACCTTGGAGTTGGTCCTGATGTTTATGTGCCTTTGTGTTTTGAGAAATCTGCGTGGGCGATTGTGGCCCAGTATGGTATTCTCAAGGCTGGTGGTGCCTTTGTCTCGCTCGATCCCTCTCACCCGGAACAGAGATTGGCCAACCTGATAGAGGACGTTGGTGCCGAGGTTGTTTTATGCTCATCACGCCTTCACGATAAGATTAGAAAGATTGTTAAGAAAGCTGTTGTCCTGGACTCAAAAACGATTCAACAATTCCCTAAGCAGCCCTCCCTACAGCCAGACAACTACGCAGATCCTTCCAATGCTGCCTATGTTATTTTCACTTCTGGCACCACGGGTAAACCAAAGGGCACCGTTATTGAGCATGCTGCTATCTGCACTGGATCCGCTGCCCATGGTAAAGCTCTATTAATGGACAGTTCTAGTCGTGTCTTGCAATTTGCGTCATATACCTTCGACGCTAGTGTCACTGAAATACTCACCGCGCTCCAAGTTGGTGCAACTGTATATGTTCCCAGTGATGAGGAGCGAATGAATGACCTGCAAGATGTCATTGCAAAGGGCAAAGTGAATTGGACACTCCTAACCCCTTCAGTGCTCAGCACCCTGAAACCGCAAAAGGTCCCAACTTTGAAGACGATTGTTACGGGCGGTGAGGCTATGTCTGAGAAGGCCATTAAGGAATGGGTTGGCGGTCCAGCGGTTGTTAATGCCTATGGGCCAACAGAGGCTTCGGTCGTGGCATCGGCCAGTTTGAAGGTCAACAAAGCTGGCGTTTCAGTGGACCAGAATCGATCGAACATCGGAACTGCCTGCGGGTGTCGAACTTGGGTAGTTGATCCTCGAAACATTAACCGCCTAATGCCCGTGGGTGCGGTTGGTGAGCTTCTTATTGAGGGCCGTACAGTGGCGCGAGGTTATATCAACAACCCCGAGAAGACAAGTGAAGTCTTCATCAGCAACCCAAGCTTCTCTAGGGAACGTCGCTTCCGAAGCCTGTTCTCTCACAGGCACCGCATGTACCGTTCGGGTGATCTTGTTCGGTACAATCCTGACGGTAGTATCAATTACATCTCACGAAAGGACACCCAAATCAAGCTCAACGGCCAGCGAATCGAGCTTGGTGAGATTGAATACCATTGCAAAGTGAATCTGCCCGACCAGACCCAAGCTGGAGTTGATCTGATCGTACCATCAGACCGGGCTAAGAAGACTCTTGCAGTCTTCTTCAGCGTTCCGTCGGCTCGTAGTCAGCCATTAACGCTCACTAACACCGATGGTTCTCCCGCGGATGAACTGCTGCTGCCTATGAATGATGCTATCCGGACAATTGCAAAGACTCTCGAGACCAAGCTCGGTACTTCAATTCCAACGTACATGGTTCCACACCTTTTCATTCCCATGACCAAGCTTCCTTGGTCGGCGGCTGGCAAGCTGGACCGAAATCGCCTCCGAAACATCACTCAGGCACTATCAAAAGAGTCTATAAAATCCTTCCGCCTTACTGGAGTTGCCGGTAAGCGCAACATTTCTACCGGGCTCGAGAGTAAACTCCAGGCACTTTGGGAGAGTGCCTTGGATCTTCCGAAAGGATCCGTTGGTGCTGGCGACAGCTTCTTCCGTCTTGGAGGTGACTCCCTGGCTGCTATGCAGCTTTCAGGGTCTGCTCGTTCTTCCGGGATCTCTCTTACCTTTGCAAACATTTTCAAGCATCCTATCCTGGCGGACATGGCATCGACTTGTGTTATGCTGAAGGGTGGACCATCGACGGAAGTACGCCCATTCAGCCTACTCAAAGCCAATGAGTCCATCGATGCAATCAAGACAGAAGTTTCCCAACTTTGCCGTATTGATTCAGACCTAGTGCATGATATCTACCCCTGCAGTTCTCTCCAGGAAGGCCTCATTGCTTTGTCGTTGAAGCAGCCGGGCGCTTATGTTGCGCAGAACGTGTTTAAACTCTCCCCATCTCTCAACCTTGAGCTTTTCAAGGAAGCCTGGCAAAAGACCGTTGACGATTTGACAACTCTCCGCACTCGCATCGTTCATACAGCGTCATCGAACTTCCTCCAAGTGGTGCTGAAGCGCGACACTATTTCCTGGCACTCGGCACGAAGCTTGGAGGAACTCTCCAGCGAAGCTGCCACTGTTCCACCATTTAATGGTGGTAACCTGGCTAAATATACCATCGTTCAAACTCCGCGCTGTCGATACTTCACCTGGTCAATCCATCATGCGCTCTATGATGGGTGGAGCTTGCCCCTTATCCTTCAACGGGTAGAATCCATTTACCGAGGGCAAACACCCCAGGCGCCCAAGAGCTCATATGCAGATTTTATAAGCTACCTTTCAACAATTGATGAGAATAGTACCAAACAGTTCTGGACAGCCAAACTTGCAGACATATCTTGCTCTAAGTTCCCTCCTCTGCCACCAACTAAGGATCAGTCAGAAACCAGGACACTGTCCCGTCACATTGCAACCTCATCTGTAGGAAATGTCACATTACCTACTATCATTCGTGCGGCATGGACATTAGTTTTGGCTAGTCATACGGCCTCTGACGACGTGTGTTTCGGCGAAATATCAACAGGTCGCAATATCAATGTCCCTGGCATTGCTGATATCGTGGGGCCAACCCTTACTACTATCCCCACCAGGATCCGGGTTGACTCTCAAACAACGGTTGCAAACTTCCTGCAGGAGGTTCAGCAAGACTCTGCGGATGTCGTTCCTCATCAGCATGCTGGCCTTCAATATATTAGAAGGTTGAACGGCGATGCGTCTGAAGCTTGTGATTTCCAGAATCTCTTAGTTATTCAAACTGCCCAAGGAGAAGGCCAGGAAGGCCTCTGGGAAATTCAAGCAAACAGTGATGTGAACAACTTCTTCACCTATCCACTTGTCATTGAATGTCAGCTATCGAAGAAGAACGTCGCAATTACGATATACCACAAGGAAGGTATAATCAGCACCTGGACCGTCGAGCGAATTCTGGATCAGTTCAGCTACGTCATGGAGCAACTGTTCAAGAAGACTCCCACCACCAAACTCAGTGAAGTCGAAGTTGTCTGCCCTGAAGACAAGGAAACAATCAAATGGTGGAATCGACGCACGCCACCCCAGGTTAATGAATGCGCCCACGAGATATTCAACCAACTCGCAGATACCCAGGGAAACAAGCTTGCCGTGATAGATTTTGAACGACAGCTGACTTACCGCGAACTCAGAGGTCTTGCTCTGCGCTTTGCCAAACTTCTCTCTGGGAATGGCGTTGGCCCCGAGGCTTTCGTTCCCATATGTGTTAATCGGTCTGTCTGGACAGTAGTCGCGATGATGGCTGTGCTAATGGCTGGGGGTGCATATGTACCATTGGATCCTTTGCACCCGGCTTCCAGACACCAGGAGATTGTCCAGGAAAGCAGCGCGAAATTGGTTATTTGCTCACCTGAGTATCGCGATCGCTTCTCAGCCTTCGTGGACACTGTTCTCGTCATTGATGAGGCAACTGTTATGTCCCTCCCGAGTGTGTACTCACTCCCATCCAAGGCAAAACCTCACAACAGCGTGTATGCCATCTTCACCTCAGGTAGTACCGGAAAGGCAAAAGGTATTGTAATCGAGCACCGTGCCTTTACTAGTACCTCTGCTTCCTTCAGCGTCAACCTGTGTATGCAGTCAGATTCCCGGGTGTTCCAATTCGCATCCCCTTCATTCGATGCCTCAGTTATGGAAATCCTTACCACCCTTACCACCGGTGCCTGCATCTGCATACCTAGCGAAAAAGAGCGACTTGCGGATATCCCTGGCGCTATTTCCAGAATGAATGTTACCTGGACATGTTTGACACCGTCTGTTGCAAATGCTATTGACCCTGATGCTATCCCGTCCCTGAAAACACTTGTTTCCGGAGGTGAAGCTATATCCCACGAGATCATCTCTAAATGGGCGGATAAAGTCCAATTGATAAATGCCTACGGACCCACTGAGACTTCCATTGTTGCGGTCACCAATACAAAGACCTCATACGAAAAATCCACCGTCTCCATCGGTCATCCCATCCCATCAACACTCGCCTGGGTCCTTGATCCAAGAGATCATAATAAGTTGGCCCCAATAGGCGCCATTGGAGAGCTGGCACTTGAAGGCCCAGGGTTGGCTCGTGAGTACCTTAATTCTCCCGAAAAGACGGCAGAAGGCTTCCCAGAAAATCCAGCATGGGCTGCAGAGTTCCCAGCAGCCTCTAAACTAACCAGGCGGATTCACAAAACTGGTGATCTCGTCAGATATACACCCCAAGGTGCACTAGAGTACTTCGGGCGCAAAGATCATCAGGTCAAGGTGAACGGTCAGCGGTTAGAACTAGGTGAAATCCAAAACCGTCTAGACTCAAATTCTAAGGTCCGAAATGCCCTAGTTTTGATGCCTAAGGTTGGTCTCGGCAAGAAGAGACTTGTTACTATCCTTTCTTTGGAAGGTTTTGTCTCCAGTCAAGGTTTCACAGCCAGTAGCATCGAGATATTTGAAGAGCAATCTCTGGTCGAAAAAGCAAATGCGACGATCGTTAAGATTCAAGATGACCTTTCGAGTCAATTGCCATCTTTCATGGTGCCCCAGCTCTGGATTCCAGTCAAAGCTATCCCTCTGCTTATTTCAGGGAAGCTGGACCGCAAACTAGCCCTAAAATGGCTTGAGAACCTAGATCAGGAAACGTTCGACCGAGTCACCGCGTCCCCAGAAGAGGAGGAAGAAAGCCCAGGTCAGTCGACTGAGACGACAAAGATCTTGCGCGAGATCTGGGCAAGTGTACTCAATCTTGACATTAAGGATGTCAAATTGAACAAATCTTTTATGAGCCTTGGTAAGTCAATCCTAATCCCTAGTTTATTAAAGCCATATCTAACTCCTGTGTAGGAGGTGACAGTATCACTGCTATGGGTGTCATGTCCCGATGCCGCAAAGCAAATATTGAGCTTTCTCTTCACGACGTCTTGCGTAGCAAGTCGATAGTTCACCTTGCCAGTTACGTCGGACATAGGGTGTCCGGCCCTCAGAAAGAGGAGGTTGTGGACGAGCTATTTGGCCTGTCTCCTATCCAGCAGTTGTATTTCCGGTCTTCTCATGCTCAGGATGGGGACGCCCGTTTCAATCAGAGCTTTACTCTCCGGGTCACCAAGCCAACCGACGCTCGCACATTAAAGCTTGCAATAGAAGCCATAGTTGATAAACACTCAATGCTCCGGGCTAGGTTCGTGCACGATGGAAACAACTGGCGCCAAAAGATTACCAAGGTATGTTCCTTCAGCCCCGGATACTAGTGCAGACCTTGTAGCTAATGGATTTCTTAGGATATCAACGCTTCATATCGCTACCGAAATCATGATAACGCGAAGAAATATGAAGTTTCTCGTTTTATCAAAGATGCTCAGATGTGCTTGAATATTGAACAAGGCCCGATCCTTGCTGCTGAGCTTCTCAACATACAGCATGGAGGACAGTTTATTTTCATGACAGCCCATCACGCCTGTGTCGATATGGTGTCCTGGCGTATCATCCTACAGGATTTGGAGGAGTTTATTGAAGCGAAATCTCTCGCCATCGACAAGCCACTTTCATTCCAGTCGTGGTGCTCGGCTCAAACTGCCCATTTGAAGACCCTTGATACCTCTTCACTTCTTCCGTTTGATGTGAAGCCTTCAAACCTCTCATACTGGGGAATGGAAGGTAGACAGAACACCTACCATGATGCTGAATATGAGACATTCCAACTAGATAAGGTTACTTCCACCCTTGCCTTGGGTGATAGCCACAAAGCGTTCCAAACAGAGCCGATTGATCTGTTCCTTACTGCGATTGTTCACTCCTTCGCGAGGGTATTCCCAGATCGAGAAGTCCCCACGCTATACAATGAAGGGCATGGTCGTGATTCATGGCAAGGAGGCCCAGACCTGTCCAGGACTGTTGGTTGGTTTACTAGCATCTCCCCAGCGACTATACCGGTTGAAATGCGTAAGTTAATCCTCTATCAAGGAGCCACTTTTGAAGAACAGTCTACTGACTTTTTTAAACAGAAAACGGAAAAGATGATGTATTAGATACTCTCAAGCGTGCCAAAGACATTAGACGCCAGATCCCGGATAACGGGCGGCCCTACTTTGCTCATCGGTACTCTACAATGCACGCTTCTCAACAAGATTCCTCTTTCCCTATGGAAATTGTGGTCAACTACCTTGGTCGCATGCAACAGCTTGAACGTGACGACTCTCTTTTGCAACAGGCAGATCTCATTACGGATGAGGATGAGGCAAAGGACGCTGGTGACATGGGCCCAAGGACAATGCGATTCGCCCTGTTTGAGATATCAGCCATCGTCCTTCAGGATCAAGTCCGCTTCACATTTATGTTCAACAAGAATATGAAACAAGTGCAGCGCATTCGTCGATGGATCTTGGAATGCAAGCAAACTCTTCGGGAGGCTGTTGACGCCATGAACCGCAGTGCCCCTGAACCAACCCTCAGCGACTATCCTCTGTTACCGATATCATATGAAGCTCTCCAGAAGCTCGCCAAATCGGCCTTCCCAAGAGCCGGTGTTTCCAGCCGCGATCAGGTTGAGGATATATATCCTTGCTCTCCTATACAAGAGGGTATTCTATTGAGCCAGCTGAGGGACCCTGACAGCTATATATTCCACACCAGCTTTGAAGTTACATCTGCCAATCCATCGAAGAGGATTAACGCACAAAAACTCGGTCGAGCCTGGCAACAAGTTGTTAACCGTCACGCTGCGCTACGTACAGTTTTCATTGACAGCCCATGCCGAGGAGTTACCTTCTGCCAACTAGTTGTTAAGGAGGTTGATAGTGGTGCTATTCATATCTCGTCCGACAACTCGAACGCAATGGACAAACTGAGGACCATCAGGCTGAAGGATATGAACGGCAAAAAACGCCCCCAGCTACCTCATCAGATTACCATTTGCTCAAAACCGGATGGTGGCGTCATAATAAAAATGGAAATCAACCATGCTGTCATTGACGGCGGCTCCGTATCCATATTGATGGCAGACTTAGCTGCAGCCTACGAGGATCGACTTCCAACCGGACAAGGTCCTCTATACAGTGACTACATTCGATTCATCCGAAGTCAATCTACAGCGGGTGAAATCAATTTCTGGAAGAATTATCTTGGAGGCCTGAAGCCATGCCATCTCCCGCGGCTGGGCTCCCATACAAGCGCCCAGAAACAGCTGCGTACAACTTTCGTCAATTTTGAACGTTACCCAGAACTTCAAGCTATGTGCGAGCAGCAGAAGGTCACTATGTCCAATGTTATGCATGCTGCCTGGGCCGTCGTCCTAAGGGCATATGTTGGATCAGATGATGTGTGCTTCGGATATCTATCCGCCGGCCGTGATGCCCCTGTCAACGGTATTCAGGAGACAATTGGAGCCTTCATCAATATGCTCTGCTGTCGTGTTGTCTTCTCCCCCCGTGCATCATTCCATGAAATTTTCCGCAAAGTGCAGGATGATTACTTTGACAGCCTGTCATATCAGAGATGCTCACTTGCCGAAGTTCAACATGAGCTGGGACTTGCAGGCAAGCCATTGTATAACACTGCCATCTCTGCTCAGAATCATGGAAAATCCAGTGATGCTGTTGAAGAAAGCATCCTCTTCGAGCATTTAGGTGGACACGATCCAAGCGAGGTACGTTTCTTTTGATCCGCTAACCTTCACAACAAATTGTAGTAACCTTGGTCTAACTGGATATTAGTATGCTATAACCGTCAACATTGAGACAGCAAAGGGCGACGAAGGTGTTCTCCTCCGATACTGGGACAATATGGTTTGCGAAGATGATGCTCAGAATATGGCCGCGAGTATGGCTCACGTCTTAACATCTTTCATCACCCGCCCCGAGCAGCTTGTTTCCGACTATGATCCAACGAAGATAACGGATTCGAGCGTGAGCAAAGAACTTCTACAGCGTCCGCGTGAAGAGTCAAAGCAGGCCGAACTACAGTCAAACCTTGGACAAATGACTACTGGAAATCTTAGTACGGAACAACTGCTCAACAACAATGCCGAACTCCGAAAGATTGTTGATTCCTGCGTTCAAGATATACTACAGAAGATGGCCAAATCTGGACAGCTAGCAGCCAAGAGTGCTGACGAGATTTTGTTGAGTACTTCCCGTCGAGATGTCGATGACAACAGTAGGGCAATGAGCACCGATCAGACCATCAATTCTGACTCAAACAAAGACATGGACCTCGAGACTGCTACCCCCTCTGAAGCCTGGGAGCAATCTGACTACAACCCCAAGACTGACACGGATCGGACATCGATGGCAGCTCATATTAAGAAGAGAGGAAGATCAGCTCGCATTGAAAAGAAGCTCCTGGCGCTCTGGAGCTCTATGCTGGAAATGGATGAAGATTCAATCTCGGGAGAAGACAGTTTCTTCGAGTTGGGAGGCGACAGTCTCACAGCCATGAGACTTGTTGGAGCTGCGCGAGACGAAGGTCTGTCACTCACTGTGGCTGATGTTTTCCGAAACCCTGTTTTTGAAGACATGGTTGCTGTGATTCGTGTGGCCAGCATGATGAGTAACTACATTGATGGTGCTGATATGGATGATTTCAATGCCCAAAGCCAGGCAATTCGATCAGCAGCCACGAGTGAACTCTACCAAAGGTTCTCACTAGTCAAGGCTCCCAATATCGATGCCTTCCTTCAAAATAACATTATCCCGAAGGTCGGCGTCTTCAAGGGGGGTATGGTGGACGTCCTTCCAGTGACCGATTTCCAGGCCCTCGCCATCACCGGCTCTCTGCTGGAATCACGATGGATGCTCAACTACTTCTACCTTGATGGACATGGAGTTTTGGATCTTCGAAGGCTCAAGAGAAGCTTTATCCGCCTCGTTCATTCCGTTGATATCCTCCGTACCGTCTTCCTGCCAAGTGGTGACCGCTTCCTCCAAATCGTTCTCCGGAAGATGCGCCCTGATTTCTTTGTCTATGAGACCGAGTCCAATCTTGACGAGTTTGTTGCGATGCTGCAGCAGCGGGATCGTGAGCAAGGCCCTCGCCTTGGCGAAGCGTTTGTTAACTTCACGGTGGTTAAAGAAAAGGATAGCAACCACCACCGGATCGTCATTAGAATGTCGCATGCCCAGTATGATGGAGTCTGCATGCCAAAGATCCTGAGCGCAATTCAAGCTGGTTACGAAGATGAACCCCTTCCAATGATGTCTTCGTTTGCGAGTTACGTTCGGGCTTCAGCCTCAACCATAACGTCAGACCATTATCAGCACTGGAAGACTCTCCTCAAAGGTTCCAAGATGACAGAAATTGTCCGACGAGAGGGACCTAACTATCGACGATCAGCCGGCGCCACTAGCCAACTAAAGCAAACTGTACTGTTGCCAGCCATTGCTCACGGAAACATCACAACTGCTACAGTGATTAAGGCAGCCTGGGCAATGGTCCTAGCACAACTTTCGGGAAGCCCCGACGTTGTATTCGGCCATACAATCAGCGGCCGTAACACAACAGTTCCTGGAGTCGAGAGTACAATCGGGCCTTGTCTCAATATTATCCCCGTCAGAGTGCAATTCAGCGAACGCTGGACAGCACTTGATCTCCTGCGTTTTGTCCAGGACCAGCAAGTCAGAAACATGCCGTATGAAGCTCTCGGATTCCGTGAAATCACCAAACACTGCACAGAATGGCCAGACTGGACCAATTTCACTACCGTTGTTCAGCATCAGTTCGCTAGCGTCGACGGTGAAATGACTCTTGGCAGGAATACCTACACCATTGGAGCAGTTGGAACTGAAGAAGACTTCTCTGACTTCTCCATTGTATCCAGTCTCCATGAGGATGACAGATGTGAGATAGTACTCGGCTTCTCGCTCAACAGCTCCATCACCCCCATTTTCGCCCAGAAGGTCCTGAACATGCTTTGCAACACCATCTCCAACTTCATGGCCGACACAAGCATGGTCTTGCTTTCTCCTCAGCAGATATCAAAGATGCCACCGCAGACCATCGATGAAACTCAAAAGCCATATGATAGCTATTTCCTATCCTCACAGCTACAAGACCTTACTCAGGCGGAAATTCTGGTACTTTCTGATATCCTTAGCCGAGCCTGGCGCCAAGTATTGGGAGAAGAGAACACGACAAGCTTGAACCTTGAATCGTCCTTCTTTGATCTCAACGGTGACATAATGGGCCTTGCACAGGTGGCTTGGCTTCTTGAACAAGAAGGCTTCACGGTGCGAGTAGAAGACCTTATTGACCATCCAACAATGCTTGGACAGATGGCTACTTTATGTTCTCAACGGTCAATGGAGAAAGAAAAAGCCATTGAAGCATCCTCGTCCCAGAATTCAATCGAAGATGAGTACGACTCTATCCCGAATGCAAAGGTAGAGAAGAACTCCTGGTTCAAGGCTTTGGGCATGGCCAGACGGATGGTTCGACGCAATACTCGTCCATCTTAAACACTACACTCATTCTAAATTTATATACTTCTCTGGTGCCTAAACACACGGCCCTTTGCCTAAACGGTGGTTTCCATATACTTTTTTCGATAATTAGCATTCCTTTACATATTTTCTTTCATTCTGTTGATTATTTATTCTGACTAGACTGTTACGTTGTTTGCTAAGCGTTTAAAGCGATGATGTTGTATAGTTTGGATAGCGTTCTCTAAGCTTAATAGAATTCCCTTATTAATTTCATCATTTTGTCTGCCTACCAGCATCAAAGCTGCCATCAGTAAGTACTGTTATCGAGACAAGATCAAATAGGATGACATCACAAATGGCTGAATAGATCTCCCAGCCCTATTTTTTTTTCCCTTTTTTAGTTGACTATTTCTTTTTCTTTTCATTCAGGACTGTGAATACGGGGACACCAGGGTCTTCTTCAAGGGGTGGGAAGGGCTAGATAGAGTATAGGTATAAAACAGAAGAAAAACCTAAGGTAACTCCAATAAATTAGCATTCAATAGTTATTATATTCCCGTCTAATAAAACCTACAACTACGATCTTTACAAGAGCTACCGAATTTCTCTCTGCATTGAATCATTCTCAACCTCGCGATTCTCAACCTCGCGGCAAATTGCTGTCACGTGGGAGATAACTATGACTTCCAAGCTCAGCAAACTATGACATCACTGGCCGTTTGAGGCTGATAAAGGCGAGTAAAAGGTGAGAAGTAACTAAAAAAAAGACATCGACATAACTTGCAACTTAACATCGATTCAGAGGTATTGGTCTTAAAGCCACTCACTACACAAGCCCTTCAAGCCGCAAAATGGCTGGAAACTCCAATGTTGGCACTAGGACCATCTATGAAAGCAATGAGCAGCGTAACTTTTCTCGATCTGAGGTTGAAAATGCCCGTCGGAACAGAGACAACCCCCCTGACTCAAACCGACGGGGCAGCGCACACGAAAAAGAACAGAAGTCAAGGGGGAAACACTCACCCACTGATAAAGAGCTGGCGAAATTAGACCCTACTGCACCGGTAAGTCCAACAGGAACCCCCTTCAAATAATGGGATGGCCAATCTAATGGAAATCCCATCGCACGGTAGGCTAGGATGCATGGCCACCAGCCATCTCGTGGTGCACAGGTCGATGCTGAGCTGAAGAGGGAGGATGAGGAAAGGATTAGACAAAAGCAAGGCTTATAAAAAGGCATTGGCGAGTGTGAAAAGGGGGCCGCAAGGCTGTTCAGGGGTTGTATAAAAAAGTGGCCTAGATATAGGAAGCACAAGGGATAAACTGCGAGGAGGAAATAAATGTATAACTAGCAGGATAAGTAGCAGTTATATAAGGATATTCTTTTGTTAAAAAAAACCAAAGTAGCCCAATGTGATATGCTATGGGCATTTTTAACTAATCAGAACGCCTCGCCCGAGTCTACTCCATCTCAATAGTTCCTGGGGGCTTGCTCGTAACATCATAAAGCACACGGCAGACACCGTTGACCTCGTTCACGATTCTGCGGCTCACTTTCTTCAGGAAGTTTCCGTCGAATGGATACCAGTCGGCGGTCATAAAGTCGGTAGTCTCAACAGCACGAAGGGCAATCACTTGCTCGTGCGTACGCTTGTCTCCCATAACTCCGACGGCTTTGACTGGCAGAAGGGCAGCAAAGGCCTGGCTAATATCGCGATATAGACCAGCTGCTTTGATTTCATCAATGAAGATCGAATCGGCGTGGCGGGCTATGCGGATCTGCTCAGGGGTAACCTCTCCAAGAATACGGATGGCAATTCCAGGTCCGGGGAAAGGGTGGCGCCATACCAAATCTTCAGGGATTCCAAGGTTAGTTCCCAGGCTGCGGACCTCATCTTTGAACAGTTCGCGTAGAGGCTCGATGAGCTTCAGGTGCATTCCCTTGAGAAGCCCACCGACATTATGGTGAGTTTTGATGGTGGCACTAGGCCCCTTGAAAGAAATACTCTCAATAACATCAGGGTAAAGGGTTCCCTGGAGAAGCCACTCAATCTTGTCACCTTCCTTGTAGCCAGCCGATTGCTCAACAATGGTCTTTGCAGTGTCCTGGAAGATTTCGATAAAGGTGTTGCCGATGATCTTTCTCTTCTGCTCGGGGTCAATGACACCTTTTAGGCGGCCGAGGAATTTCTCACTAGCATCAATGACGGTCAGATTGATTCCGAGGTTCTTCGTTAGGGTTTCCCGGACAATTTCAGCCTCGTTGAGTCTCATGACACCATTGTCGACTAGTACTGCATGGAAACGGTCGCCAATGGCCTCTTTCATTAGCTTTGCGGCGACGGTAGAGTCTACTCCACCGCTCACAGCACCAATGACCTGTCCATGTTCGCCGACCATAGCACGAATTCTCGCCAGCTCCTTATCCACGAATTTCTCCATGGTCCATTCCTGCTTAGCGCCACAGATTTTGACAGCAAAGTTATCTAGTACCTGCTTTCCGCAGGGAGTGTGGGTGACTTCTGCGTGGAACTGGATGCCAAAGTATGGCTTCGTCTGGTGCGCAATACCGGCGTAGGGTGCGTTGGATGTCGTGGCGATGATTTCAAAGCCCTCGGGAAGCTGAGACAGCTTATCTCCATGTGACATCCAAACTTCAACCTTGTCTTCCAGACCCTGGAATAGGCGGTCGATATTGGCCTGGCCCTTCTCTCCATGCCTCTGGATGTTCAAGTAGGCATGTCCGTACTCCTTGTTGTCACTAGCGGCAACATTTTTACCATGATGCCACGCGAGCTCCTGCAAACCGTAGCAGATACCGAGGATCGGGACGCCCAGGTCAAAGACCGCCTGGTCGACGTGGGGAGCATCCTGGTCATACACGGAGTACGGGCTGCCGGAGAGAATCACACCGGTGGGCCTCCAAGACAGCTCGGCAATCTTCTGAGTGCATGGCAACAACTCAGAGTAGATGTTGAGCTCACGAAGACGCCGTGTAATTAAATGAGAGTATTGCGATCTGGATTATCCGTGGTATCAGTCCTATAGTTCCAATGCGACTTGAGGGAGGATCTCTCCATGTGACTCACCCAAAATCGAGGACGAGAATGGTATCAAATGCCTTGTGAGGCTCATTGGCAATTTCAACGGCAGACATCCTGACTGTCTATTACTGAGCCCCCCTTAGATATAAATTGTAGAGAAGGGAGAAAAAGAAGTCTTCAATTGACGCCGTGGGCGGGAGTTTGATACCCCCCGCGAAAGAAGAGAAAAAAAAGAGGAAGAAGAAAAAAAAAAGCGAAAAAGCGAAGGGAAAAAAGATGCAAGCGATAAGATAAGCAGTGGGGTGGTTTCCTATCGCGGTTTAGCGTCTTCGGAGTTTGGATTATTTTATTATTTTTATTTTTATTTGTTTCTTTCATTTTTATATTTTTATATAAAAGAGAGAAAGAAACAAGAGAAAGAAAGAAAGACGGCGTTGAGAAGTTCAAGAGGTGCTGGTCGACTGTGCAACTGTTGGATATATATTGATCATAATGGGAAAACGGAAGCAATTGAAGGATGTCGAGATGAAGGACGGCGCGGCGGAGGACAGCAGTGACGAGGTAAGGAAGATATACCCAGGTATACGTATTATACTAAGAAGACGGATAGGATCTTGATATTATCGACGTTGATTTTGAATGGTTCGATCCTCAGCCAGCGGTGGACTTTCACGGCCTGAAAGTGTTGCTGCGCCAGCTCTTCGACTCGGATTCCCAGCTATTTGACCTGTCTGCGCTGTCAGATTTGATTCTATCACAGCCGCTGCTGGGCTCGACGGTGAAGGTAGACGGGAATGAGACAGATCCATATGCCTTCCTTACAGTTCTAAATCTACATCAACACAAGGTAGGCCACGCCACATGCGCGCATGAAAGAAAAAGAAAAAGATAAACGTAGTAGGGATGACTCACTCAAGGGGCTTTATAATAGGATGTACCCGTAATCAAGACATTAACAGACTATATCCGAACCAAGTCATCGAACGCCGAGTGCTCGTCACTGAACCAGCTGCTCTCTCAGCCGGAAGTGCCCCAGATAGGGCTCATATTGACCGAGCGTCTCATAAACGTACCCGCGCAAGTAGTTCCTCCGATGTACACCATGCTGCTCGAGGAGATATCGTGGGCACTTGAAGAGAAGGAACCATATAACTTCACGCATTATCTCATAATATCCAAAACGTACCAAGAAGTCGAGTCGAAGTTGGACCAGGAAGACGACCGGCCGCAGAAGAAGAAGAAAAAGGCTGGCAATGAAGGTTCAGAGACATTCTACTTCCACCCTGAAGATGAGATACTGCATAAACATGCCCTATGCCACACGGGATATAACTATACCCACGAGACCGAAGGGCAGTCTGACTCGAAGAGAGCGTTCCAGGAGCTGGGAATTCATCCGCAGGGCCATATGATCTTGATAGAAGCGTCGAAGTTCGAGGCAGCCGTGGCCAACCTAAAGGAGTTCCTAAACCCATCTTCGTGAATAGGGAATAATGAAGAGATATCGATGACAACAAGTCAAAAAGTAGAGGAGAGGAGAAAGGGGTGAACAATCAAAAAATAAAAAAAGATAGTCTATTCGATTTTAGATCGTGATTAAAAGTGATCGTAGCCCTAAATAACAGTGGTAGTACTCCGTAGTATTGCCGTCTCGTCTAACCCGGTGAGCCGTCCTTTAACCTGCTAATCTGCTAACATGCTTAGCATCAGTGAAATGTTGTCGACTTAGTTGTCTTCCCACTCCGTTCCTTTCAATCGTTGCATTAGATATTCCACCTCGACAAACTTAGTTACTGGAATAACGCTGTACTGTAGAGTCTGTCAGCTAGACGGATATTATGGGGATATAATGATACAGGCCATGGCAGGCACCCACCTTGTACATGGAGACGACGGCCTCGAAATCGATCTTCGGCTTCCCCTCGCTAGGATTTGCCGGGTCTCTCCCATAAGTCTTTGCCTTCAACCGTAGCCGGTCCAGTACCATCTTCTCTACTTTGGAGTTGGTGATGGCCTCTTCAATGCCATCACGGTCCTCGGCCTTGATCAGCTTGACAAACTTCTCTGTCTCAGCCAGGAACTTCGACTCGGCGACGAATTTGCCGAAATGGATCCTCCTGGACAGCGCCTGTAGACAGCTGACGTCGTTTGTGGCCGAGGAGCCGTAGTTCTCCTGGGCTTCACCCCTGTCTCTGGACTTACAAAGAGACGGCAGAATCTCGTTGATGTAGCGTGACTTGATCACGTCGTTGACGTTGACGTCGTTCTCATGCAGGATCTTGGGGTATTGGAGAGGCTGCAGAATGGGCGTCTCAACGACTTCGGGGAAGAAAGGGTATTCATCGGGCGACTGGTAGCGTCGGACGCGGGACTCGAGACGCTCCTGCTCGCTGAGGACATAGTCCATGAGGCTGAGCTCACTTCCAGGGATCTTGACGGCTCCTGGGATGTATATCCGTCTGTTGAGAGGGAACTGGACCCTCTCGATAAGGTGGAAGGTGATGGTATCCTCCAGACGGCTGGTATGAGTCAGGTCAGCCCAGATCAACGCAGAAAAGGGAGGCCGGGCCCTACTTACATGAGCTGGAAGCGGATGTTCTCCAGGTCAAGGGCCTTGGAGGCATCCGAGAGGTCGATTGAGGCATCCATGCTGCAGGCGCAGGTGCTGTTGTCCGGCGTCTCCGGCGCGAGTCGAGCTTCGAAAGCTTTATAGATCCTAGAGCTGTCTCGGTACCGGGCCGAAGACTCTACGGTTGGAATATGGAGGCAAAGCGACAGGGGTAGCAGGGCCAGGGAGGCTAGACAGGAAGAAACTCGCATCGGGTGTCAGGGCAAGGAGGAAGAACGAGAGGAAGAAGAAGAAGAGGAAGTCGAACAGGCCAGAGAAGATATCTTTGTTTTCGGGGGCCGAGAATCACACAGGGTGGCCAAAGGAGGGACGGAGTCACTACTTTTTCTTGTTCCTTTTTGTTGGGGCTTGTTTTATTTTGTTACTCGCAAGCCACAGCTGGCTCGCAGGCTCTTCTCTTCTGTGCTGGCTGGATGACTGGACGGATGCTATGAAGATGGATACGAGCAGCCATGTTGGTAGGCATAGTCTCGGTCTGTCTACCTATGTATCTGCAGGGACAGACACAGAGATGCATTGCAGCTGTCAGTTCCTGAGAAACAGATGCAGGATGTAGATGACCTGCCATATAGTTAACCAGAGACATCTTTCCACCTCTTCTCTTACATCTTCCTCCTGCCACTTCCCCTGCCGTCTCCCCGTCCTCTAGCAACTTCTACTCCTCGTCCTCCAACTCTTCTCCACCATCTTTTATGCTTCTTCTTCTTCTTCTTCTTCTTCTTCTTCTTCGTCTTCGTCCTTCAACCTCGGCATCTTAAGTTCGTAAAATACCGTAATCTATGACCAAAAATACAGCCTTGGCACCTCTTTTCAAGCTTCAAACCTGAAAAGCAAAAAAACATCCAAAAAAACATCAACATCAAGCGTTTTTCCTTCTATACAAAAAAAGAAGAAGAAGAAGCGAAGTCAACAAGCCAGCGGAACAAGTGAACAGGCCTGCCAAAGTCAATGGCCGCTTGAGCAGAGCAGCCGGAGGCTCCATGGCTGCTTAGCTGCGCGTACACACAGTTCAAGGGACTGCGCTTGTCTTCCACCTTTGCCACATTCCCTCCCCAGTTCGACCTCTTTCGCCAACTACTACTTACTACTTACTACCACTTCTCCGAACATCTACTCCATCATGGCCGGCAATCCAGCACGGAGCCGCTCGGGCTCTGGCGCTTCTCACTACGCAGCGGGCGACGATGAAGGCTCTGTGCTGGGAACAGGGCTTACCGTAAGTCTGCTTCACTGGGAACGGCCGTGCTGTTGACAGTCGTGTTGATATCATGATGCTAATAAAGGTACCTAAATAGTCCCGCCAGCTGGAGGCATTTGGCCGCAAAGTCACGACGACCGCATCCCATCTCATAAGTGCTACGGCAGATCCCACGGCCAACGCCCATTACCATGCGGCCATGTCGGGCATCCAGCGAGAGCTACGGCGGCCGGGAGCCCAGAGAAGGATATTTGCCTTCGCGCAGACAACGCCCACCGAGCTTGTACGCTCCAAGTTCTCCACGTCTGAGATCCAGTACCGTGCCCTCTCTTCCCTCCCTGACGACCTCCTACAACACCTCCCCGAGGATACAAGCACATACTCGCTCTTTCAGGGATTCCAGGCCTCCGTTCACGATGTAGACCACGAGCACAGGAAGTCTCATCGGAGGCGAAGTTCGCATGGCCAGAAGCGTTTGGAAGACGTAGACAGAAACACGGGTGCCTTGCCGCCTACGATAGGCCATCTAAAGCGGGAACGAGACTCGTTGAACCATCGGTTGGAAATGATGGGTGTGCGGAAGAACATGTGCAGTGCTGAGATACACGAGATCGACAACAAGATTATGAACTTGAACAAGATGCGCAAGATTGTGTTGGACCGTCTGGCTGGACTGGAGATGGACGAAGCTGACTTGGAACATGAATGTAAGACTTGTCTGAGAAAGAGAAGAAAGAAAAGGAAGCGGTAGTAAGCTAACGGGAACATGACAGTGGTACAACTGGATAATAGACTGGAGGACATGGAGGACGCACTGGATGAGTCTGCGGCAGCGGCAGCGGCAGCTACACCCAAGACCGGCGACATTCCCAGCTCACCGATCGGAGAAGGCGAAGGCGATTCGTCGTTCATGTCAGAATCAATCTATGAGAAGATCCCTTCGCCGAAGGCATGGAGACACAAGACATCGAGTGCGTATCTCTCTTCTCACGTTTGAGTAACACCCTTTGTTTGCTTTCCTTTGGCAGTAGCTTACGTTTGGGGATATCTCTCTTAACTATAGAAAAACGGTCGACACCTGTACTGCACGAGCATTTTGAGCCTGGCTCTCTAATAAGAGAGCTCCATGCACACAACGACATGATAGCGGCCCTCGACTTCGACGTACCGTTTGGAACGATGGTGAGCGCTGCCCTGGACGACACTGTCCGGGTATGGGACCTGAACCTGGGACGATGCATGGGCTTCCTCGAGGGCCACCATGCCTCGGTGCGGTGTCTGCAAGTCGAAGACAGCATCGTGGCCACGGGCTCGATGGACGCTTCTATCCGACTGTGGGACCTCAGTCGCGCCAAGTACGCTCCGCGCGACCACCGAGGCGACAGGGACGACGAGGACGACGAGGATGCGCTTGGCTTCGAGGATCCCGCGGCTGCACCGCCGACGCCGCCGCCCTCCAGCATGGACGAGTGCCCGCTGTTCACTCTCGAGGCACACGTCGACGAGGTGACGGCGCTGCACCTACGCGGAGACACGCTGATATCCGGATCGGCGGACAAGACGCTGCGGCAGTGGGACCTGGTCAAGGGCCGATGCGTGCAGACGCTGGACGTGCTCTGGGCAGCGGCACAGGCGTCGTCAACCATGGCGGCAGGAGATGCATCCTGGCGGCCGACGGGTCGTCTGCCGGACGCCTCGGCGGATTTTGTCGGTGCCTTGCAGTGCTTTGATGCAGCGCTGGCCTGTGGAACGGCGGACGGGATGGTGCGCCTGTGGGATCTGCGCAGCGGGCAGGTCCATCGAAGCCTGGTCGGCCATACTGGGCCGGTGACATGTCTGCAGTTTGACGACGTGCACCTCGTCACCGGCAGTATGGACAGAAGCATACGTGTGAGTTATTTCCCTTTTTCTCGTCTTTACTTATTTTTTATTTCTTTCTCCCCTTTTGTTTTTATTTTTTGTGACAATGAATGTCTAACTAACTGTACTAGATATGGGATCTTCGCACGGGAACCATCCACGATGCGTATGCATACGACCGTCCAGTAACAAGCATGATGTTTGACACTCGACGGATTGTGGCTGCCGCCGGCGAAGACGTGGTAAAAGTCTACGACAAGACGGACGGGCGACACTGGGACTGTGGCTCAGGGGTGGCATCCGAGGACGACGGGCGGACACACAGCATCATCGAGCGGGTGCGGATAAAGGACGGCTACCTGACGGAGGGACGCAAGGACGGCACCATCGGCATCTGGAAATGTTAGCCACTCCCGGTTTTCGACCTCGCCGTCGCTGCCCTCTCCTCTTATCTTTGATATATAGACATTCTTCTCATCCCCCCTTTCCCTATCAATCGCTATATACTCCGTATGGTGTATGTGTATGAGTATCTTAAAGCGGCAACACGCCATGTAAAGTTATATGCCCAAATAGAAATAAAGTCACGCTGCTTTTAGCCTGTTGTCTGTCACGAAAACCTCGCGCTAGTCCTGATTAGGTAATTAACACAACAACAACAAAATCGCAGGCAAAAAGCGACGAAGAAGAAGAAGAAAAAGAAGAACAAAAGGGAAGGAAAAGGTGAAGGTAGAAAGCGAAGCAGTGAAGATATCGAGAAGCAAAAAGAAAAAAAACCTGGCTTGTTCTTTGCCTGCATTGACATTCGCATTGTCTCGCGGTTCTCGGAGGTTCTTTTGTTTCTTTCCCTATTAAAAGCTATTTCTAGCGCGTCGGGTTTTCGGGTCTTTTTTTTATTGCTGGTCGCTGAGTGACTCTGGAACTTGATATTGATACCCCGTTTTCACTGTCTTTGGATGATTATCTTGTATTGATTGGAGTTATTGGCTGTTGCTATAGGCTCAAACAGCAGATTGGAGCATTTAAATAACTACCCATCACTCGAGTACTAGCCATTTGATAGTCGAGAGTCGAGGTTGAGAGTCGAGTGAAGCAGGACTTGGAGCTATACCCGGTGCATCCTGAGCATCTTCTTTTCCAAGCTGAAGAAGGATACGCGTGTTTCTGTGTTGCTGTGAGCGAGTTTTGCCTGTCCTAGTGGCCGAAAGCGAATAGGTGGTGATACACCATAACAACAATAGGGGGGCTGGGGAGGACAGGACAGACAGGACAGGACAGGACAGGACAGCAGAGGGAGACCATCCGACCCGATGAATGGGGAGAGTTTTTCGGGCTCGTAGGCTTGAATCGACGTTGAAAGAGCTGAATACTCGCTGTCAATAGCCAGAGTTTTACTCCTTCCAGCCCCCTAAGGTGAGCGTGTGTTCCTGGTCCAGCCTGGATATAGAGGGGCAGCCACCCTCCAGCTCCCTTCTCAAGATTGAACGGCTTGATCGTCAGTGCTAAGTCTTCCTCCACCGTTTCCTTTGACTATCACCGTCTTCTTCCTCTTCTCTACCAGAGTTGCCAGCATTACCAGCATTACCAGCGTCACCAGCATATCAAGACAGGAGTCTAACCGTATTGCAGAATGGCACCACAACGACGCACTCGCCGGGCCACGCCCACGGCCGCAGCACCAGCAGCACCAGAGGCCGAGAACCCCTTCCTGCCGAGCATCGAGACGCAGCAGTCCTTCGCGTACGGGTCGAGCACGCCGGCGCTGCCTCGCCGGCTGGGCTCGCACCCGTCAGCTAACAACGCGGAGGAGGTGGCTGCGACTCTCTCGATGTCGGCAGGCTTCCACCAGATCGAGGACGAGGCACGCCGGAGCCCCGAGAAGCAGCGGCGAGCCGAGAGCGTGCTCAGCGGCCGGGAGACGAGCCTGTCTCCCGCGCCTAGGGAGACCATCCGGAGGCTGACGCCCGACATCCAGCTGATGGGCTCGTTGAGAGAGGCGTCTGGAGAGCCCGAAGACCACCAGGACGAGCACCGGCACCAGCACCAGCACCAGCACCAGCAGCATCACCAGCAGCATCATCAGCAAGACGATGATGCAGAAGCCGACCTTCTGGCGGATGCAATTGACGGGTCCAGCATCAGTTGGAACACGGAGCGCCATCTGCTGGCGACGGAGCAGCAGCAGGTCTCCCGCCGACCGGCCAACCTGGGCTTCCCGAACTGGCCTGCTCGGGCAACAGCAGCGACGGCCGCAAGACGGACAGCAGGGCCGCCGATGTCCCCTTCTCAAGCCAGCAGCACGTCGATCCAGCTGCAGCATCTCCAGCGCCAGCAACACCTCCAGCATCACCAGCTGCGCGGCCAGCCACAGAGAAGCCGCGCGACAGCCGAGAGAATCGAGCGAGGCACCGCCATCGGCCGTCCAGTTACTACTACCACTACTGCTGCTGGTATAGCTACTACGACATCACTATCACCATCAGGCCGCCGCGAGAGTGCCTCTGACGGCGAGCGAGTCGACACTCCGCAGTCCGAGCATACTCCATCTTCCTCCCGCCCTCCATCTGCTCAGGACATCCTTACTCCTATTTCTCCTTCTACTTCATCTTCGTCCGGACTCCGTCTTGGATTCTCTCATGTCATTACGATCCTGCTTACCGTCATGGTTGCCCTGAATGGCTACCTTCTCCGCGACGAGATCGCATCCGCTGCAAAGTCCATCTATCTTCCAGGCAGAGGAAGCTCCAGTCTTACCGGCAGCAACTGCACCGAGAACATCAGCCAGATGATGACCGCCGTCGAGCAACGACTGACGACCATGACCAAGGACATCACTTTGCTCAAGCAGGAAGTCAGCAAAGTGCCAGAAGTTGTATCTCCTCCTCCACCAGCGCCTGCAAACCCCCTTGAGCCACGACAGACCCAACTTCTTTTTCCCTGGGCCTTGGTGCTGTTGTCGACC